TACACTCATGATTCTTCTATAAATGGATAGGTATTTAAATTAAGCAAAGCTTTAAGTTGCATATGTTTTAATAATACCTAATAAAAAATACATCAATGAGACCTATGAAGGGGCTTATTAGCTAATAATTTTTCAATATTTGGTGACAACAGTTTAATTTTAATACACAAAAGTTGACTCAAAACTAATAGAACAAGTGTAATAAACACATAGGTTAGGTATTAATAGTGGTGTGGCTGTGACTCAAGTCATAGTTCATTCTGCATTCGACCAATCATGTGGCGGTTGGCATTATTGGTAGTACAACATCGTGCATGGTGACGACTGCTACTGTGGGCGGGCAAATTCAAATGCGTTGGCGGGCCAGGGTTTGGGCAGCCTTGGTTTAAATTGTTAGCATTTATTATTTCATTTATATTACTAGATGAATTATTATTATTAATTATAATTTATTTCTTATGTTATTACATTATATATATTGTAATGTTAATAAAAATATGTACTACATAATAATGCTAATTTTAACATTAGACAATATTAGTTCTTACATTAAACATCTGACAACTATTTAAATCCAAGTTAATTAATTTATTGAGTGTTATCAGTATTTTGTTTTAAAATGCTCTGATATGATGGAGAAGTTAAATGAAATAAATACTAACTGAACAGATAGTAAGCTATTGCTAAATAATTTTTTTATTTTTTATTAGGGTTTCTCAAACAGGATCCCAGTTGTTTTTTTTTTAATCTGGGAAATTCTTCTTATCCTGGAAATCCCACAAATTTCTTAAAAGTTTACTTTTTTTTTTATTTTGTGTTAATAATGAGGAAATTTTGCTAATAGAAAGTATAATTAACTCATAAACTGTCAGAATACATTTGTATTTATTAATTTTAAACCTACTTACTACTTTTTTTAATTTTTCCTTGTTATGGCATAAGTGGTCAATAATCAATACATAGCTTATTTGTGGCAGGACTCTGAAAATTCTTTACTTGACAAAACCTGTAATATCTGGAATAATTGGAATAATTGTGCTTATGCTATCTTAATTTTTAACCATGCCCAGTAGCTTCAATAACTGCGTAATGCTAGGTTGTGCAAATTGAGCAAGGATACAAATGAGTACGAAGTCTGCAAGTACTATATGAAGTTTTTCTTCATAAACCTAATTATTAGACAAACAAATTTCCAAATTATTGGGTTATAAGCTTGATGCTGCTATTAAAGCAGTCGATGCAGATAAATCAGGAATACTAGAGAGCAAAAGAAGTACTACAATCTTGAAAAGGAACTAGAAATCTTCCAGGCTACAGGTGAAAAAGCACATAACATCTGTTTTCTCTTAAATGCATTAAACACAATTCCATTCACATTAATTGAATCAGAAAGGACATTCTTGGTAACAGGACTTTTCATTACTAAATTAAGAATCAGATTGACTGATTGGAGTATTGACCATCTTTGCTTTTTAAAATCTTATTATAAAAATTTACAATAATATTTTGTATTATGTTTTATTTAAACAAAAAACGAAAAATATTCTTTTAGTTAGAAGTTTGATCTAAGTTCATTTTTTTCATTAAATTTTCAACTCAGTTCAAAGCATTTTTTGTTGTTGTTGTTGTTGAATGCAGTTTCCAGCAAACTTTAATAAATTTTTTCTATTTGTGAAAATTTCTACGTAATTCAAAGGTAATTTTTAATATATATCTTACACAACATTATCAATATGATTTTGGAGGTTTCAGAACGTATTAAATTACTTTTCATTTATCCCTATCAAAAAAAAATGTCATCTAAATTGTGATAAATTTTTACTTGGCAAAATTTTTTTACATCTCAGATGTTTTTGTTTGGATTCATAAGTACAGATATTTAACCTAAACTGGAAAACAAAGCTAAAATATTTTTAGAAAAGAGTAGGAAGAAACAAATTTCAGATGAAAGTATTCTAAGGAAAAATATGTGAATCAAACATATTTTCATATCAAATCTAATACTGTATCTGTAAGTTAATAGGTGACAATTTAATTTATTATCAAGTCAATGAAAAAACTGATTTTTTCTTAGCAATTTTTGTTTAGAAAAGATAAGCTTGTTGCTTGGACGTGGTACCGAGAAGATTTTTACCTGTAAGCGCTAAAAAAAAACTGCTAAGAAAAATTTTGACCATTGTGTAAATTGTCTAAATTTTTACTTGGTGAAATTTTTTACATCTCAGTTGTTTTTTGTTTGGATGTAAATTATTTTTATTTAATAATTGTATCGTTACATCAAAACATAAAATTAGTCGGTGCTCGGTGACTGCCAACTGAATACATCCCCGACCAACATGCTGCCAATCAAATGCATCATTGATCAATGTTTTTGATACACCATTTAGAAAAATCAATATAAAAAGTTTTTATTCACATAAATTTGAGCTTTTGTAATTCTGAGTAACATTTTGAATGAAAGTTATTTGTTTTCCAAGCAATTTTATTCTTATAAGCATAAAATTAAGCTGTAAAACTGAATTAGCTCTATGGGAAATCTCTGTGAACAACTTTGACCTATCAACCCAGAAGGTTCACCAGTACTTCACTGATAACAAGAAAGACTTAAAATTTGAACTTTCTAGATCTGGTAGTTTTTTTCTCTGAGTGTCTGCAATTGCCAGATGAAGAAAAAGAAAAAAATAGTTTTTTTGGCAATTTTTGCACTTTTCAATTGCTTATATTTCAACAACTACTTTATGGAAAATCAAATTTTGCACAATACCTAAGAAAACAATTTTCTTTTGAACAACATGAGATATTCAAAATTACTTCAGGTGTTTGAGGAGTGGAGAAATCAACCCCCGAAAATCAGCAACTTTGATTCCTGTATATATATATAGTCAGTCAGTGACTTTTTACCTTGACGGGAAGTCACTGCCATAACTCCTGGTGCTTCATACAACTTTATCCAAAATGTTTGTTGTTCTGTTGTTTTCTGTGTATATGAGAATTGATGTTGAAATTCAATTTTTTTTAACTTTCTATTAAACTTATCTCCATATGTTGAATTATTAGAATATTATCTTTTTTCACAAAATACCTAGAAAACAAGTAATTTGTAAGATAAGAATGTTTGAACATTGATTATTGTTTATTAAAAACATTTAGAAATAACTAAAAATATTATACATATATTATGAACATAATTTTTAAAATTATCAAATTCTTTTATTTACATTTTTGCTGCAGGCTCTACAGAATGCTTTCTTGAAGTTTTCATCAAGAACAAGCTGCAGATAATCTTTTATTCATTCAAATATATTTGTTAGTGTTTTAGTGTTTTAAACATTTTGAAAGTCACTTTAGAATGGCTACAGAACAAGTGGCATCCTTCTTTCTGATACTTCTACGTAATATGGATGCTGTATAATATAGATGTGTATAAAAGTGATATGGATTAAACTGATTTTATACAACATGCAGTAGCACCAATATATTCACCAGGACGATTCACCCTATGATTGTAAATATGGATAGATCATCTCCAAGTGATTTTATACATATCTTTCTAATGTTGTTTAAAGTAAAATTTTTGGTTAGATCAAACTAAAAATTTCCAGAATTATGGTACAGTAATACCTCGACTTATGCTACCCCGACTTACATGAACCTGGAGTTACGCAATTTTCAAATCTTGTCGATTCGTCTTTTGTTTGAGCGCCACACTACTCTCGATTACTCACTCCACCCACACTATTGTTCGGCTTACATGTTCGGATGTGTCATGCGGAATCGACACATAGCTACAATTTATTTTGTGTTATTTATTTCTGTGTTTGTTATATCTACAGAGACTCGAGAGACTATGTGGTGATTTCTTGTAACCGTGAACGAATCAAAAGACAAGATAAGATTAACGAGAACATTTATTAGCTTATATACAACCGAATTGGATTTTACACAAATTGCAAAATTATACCCCGACTTACACGAATTTAACTTGCACGATTATCGCTCGGTCCCACCTATCGTGCAAGTTCGGGGTATTACTGTACTTAACTGGACACTCTGTATACTTCTGAATAAATTCCTAAAGGGATTAAGTGAAATTACAATAATGGTAATCCAGAATGAGCCAGGTAGAGTCATTTGTGTCATTTAAAAACCACTTTGTTATATAACAACAGATTCAAGCAGAAAATGGATCAGTTGATTATGAAGTTGCCAAAAAGTATCTAGAGAAATTTAGATTATTGAAGATTATGTGTACTTATTATATCAGTTAGCATTTGGAACATAAAATTCCTTTTTGTACTGGTTTTTAGTCTTGTATAACACTGTTTCTCACACTATATGATATTTTATAGGAACCTAATCATTTTCTTCATAGACTAGAGTATGTGTAAATGAAACAAAATATACTAAGAAACCATAAAATCAACTCCAGTTCATACTTTATTGATGTAATGTGGACTAATATTTTCAGTCACTGCTCTGGATCTTCTAACTATTGTATTATACTACTGTAAGCTGTAAAGGCAAATCCCAAAGTGATTACAGTAAAGAATAACAACACCTTTAACACTTTTTTCAGCAACATTGTGCATTTCTTCTTGAAGCACATCCCCAAGCAACATGCTTCATTTGAGTAAAGTGGAGTGTTGATGGAAAAAGTGTTAAAAAGTGTTGCTCTACACTAGTTCCAGCTCTGATAGACATGTTTTTTGATTACAATAAATAGATTCTATTGTAGTTTTTATTATTAATTGAGTTATGAGTGTTATAAAAATTTGGGATATGATGATAAAATGAATGATAAATCTTAGTCTAAATAATGCTTACTGTAAAAATTTAAAAATTTGGAATTTTTTTATTTATTATAATAAATTTTAAAATAAACTATTGATATATTGAACAAAAAATATTCATTGAATTATTGATATTTTTGACATGATTAAAAATTTTTAATAATTTCTTTTTAATGATATCTTTTTAAATTATTGTATCTGATATTTCAGGTCTACTATATTAAGTCAAGTTCAAGCAAGTTCTCCTAATAAATTACCATCTAATAAATTATTATTAGTATTAGGTAAGATTTTGACACTATTTTATTTTACTAAATAGATAAGTTTAAGATTTTATGTTGAATAGTTTTCATTTTTTTTTTATTTTAGATGTTTTAATTGAATTCTTATTTTAGAAAATTCTAATTTAATTTATATTTGGTTTATTTGTAAGAATCTGATTTTTATGTGAAATGATATATATTTAGAATTTAATATGTTATTAAGTCTAAATTATGTTTGTTTTCGTGTTTGATGATCAGTAATTTTAATAAACAAAAATAAACTTACAAACAGAAGATTAATTGATTTAAAAAATTTCCAGTGAAATTTCTTTTACCCAAAAATCTTATTTTTAGTTTATTTCAATGAGAGATCAGAAGTTGGCTTAACTGTTAAATAGACAATTCAACCAAGTTTTAAAAAAGATTAATATTTTTGTTTCTTACTTACAATAGAAACTACAAGATTATTCCAAACACTTCAAAATGCCTGATTAAACTTAAAAAGTAGTGAAAATCTAAGTTAAATCAGGTTTAGAAATATTTATTTTTCTCAATAAAATTATTTTATCACATTTTAAATGTTTAAAAAATTTTTATTTATTTAAAAATTAAAGATGGAAGAATACTATCTGTAAATACTCAAATATTAGGTTGATAAAAAAATAAATTTTTACTATAAAATTTTATTCAGTAATTCAGTAAATTTATAAGTGATTTTAAAAACATTTTGAAGTTCAAACAAATTTTAATTTTTTTATGTCAGTAGTAATCCCATATATCTTCCACAGCATGTAGACAGTACCACTTCAGTACCTCTGGTTTAATTTGTGACAAGGAAGCAGACTAGATACTTAATATTTTTAAACTTTTGTTTTCTATACTAATATATAAAGTGAGAATGTTTGTTTGTTTGTTAGAAGCAATCTCAAAATCTACTGAACCTATTTTTATTATTCTTTTGCTATTGGAAAGCTGATACCTTCCATATGAATGTAGGCTATATACTATTTTCATATTAAAAAGGAAAATGAATGAGAATGATGCTTTTACTACAGCATTTCTCTCACATCATCATATCATCATTTGTCTGCTCTGTTTAAGGTTGATCCCCTTCATCATCTGGTGGACTTCTTTAAACTTATTATCTTATCTAATTGGTCTTGATTTTGATTCATGCAGTCCAGGAAGTTGTGTATAAGCTTTGTTTATATTGCCTTGGCTGTTTATTTCTTATACAGTATTAATATTCTTATGTTATCAGATACTTATAACTATAAGGAGTGAATTTACTTCCTTTGGACAAAGCTAAACTTTTGTATCATACATATGCATATAGTATTTTTGTGTTTTCATTGTTTTAGTAATCCTCAGTCGTTTTAATGGATGATGGTATATCCACCTTTTCCCTCTTTTTAAAAGCTATGTAGTATGGTTTGCACCAAGGATTATTGAACCTACTACAGAAACTCTTCCAGATCTGGTGTCTTTTTTTTTTTGTTAATAAGAGTCTTATATTCATTGAAGCTTGCGATATACTCAGCCTTCTGTGTTACCCTGATCTGTTCGTTTGTTTGATGTTGGTAACGCTTACGGAGTTTACGTATTTTTTTGCATTGATTAGTTAGTTCGCTGTCCCACCATGGGGCGTTAGTTGTTGATCTTGTCTTTTTTTTACTTGCTAGGTGATAACACTGTTGCAAAAGGTTCGTGAACTTCTGAATACTGTTGTCTAATTCATTTTCGTTCATGTCGATAATTGGGATGTCAAGGTGCCAGTAGTCATGTACAAGTTGCTGGAATGTTGGCCAGTGTGTATGATGGTAATAGGTAAGGTTATTAGAATCTTCTTCATCAATTTGTATCTCTGTCTTAATATAGTGGTGATCGCTGGCGCTCGGCTCAGTCATAGTCGAGCAGAATGAGATTCTAGGTGCCATATGAATATTGCCCAGGGAGACGTCTACCCAGCTTTCTCCCCTTGAAGAATAGTAAGTGGCAAGGGGATTGGTGTTGCATGAAGTGAAGTATAATGCTGCCACAAATTCTTGCATCAGATAGCCCCGACCATCTTCTATGGGGTTGTGCCATAAAAATGATTTTGTATTTGTGTCCCCGCATGTAAGCCATGGTTTATCAGCGATAGTCCTGCTGATTTGGTCTAAGTCGTGATCATAGGATCTAAATCCTCAAAGGGTGAGCAGTATACTAAGGATATGAAGATGTCCCCGAAGTTTAGATTGATGGTACAGTACATGTAGTGACATAGTACGTGGACAGATGAGGCAAATACTGCACAGTGAGGTTGGTGTTCCTAACTAGGATGGCTGTTTTAGTGTTGGTCTGAGAGCCCTTAGGATGGAGTGTTTCCAGCCTCTGTAGTTCATTAGCTCTCCCCTAAATAGGTATGGCTCCTGGGCTACAATAATATCCGAGTCCCAATCCTCTGCTGTTTTAATGATTAAAGATGAGGGGGCCTTTGAGGTTAATCTGTAGTATGGATATGGTCTTTTTGCATTTACTTCTGTTCATATGAGCCATGTTGGAGGTAGGAAGACTGGTAGAATCCTGTACATTGAGTATCCTCATATAATGTGTGCAGTGACTATAGGCCATAGTTGATCTGTCTTATAGCTTGTGTTTTCATTTTTGAAGTTATTGGGCACTGCGGATTGAAAGAATTATGGTCTGTAGGTTGGCGATCATAGACAGGTATGTCTTTGTTGGCGTTCTTGCAGTTTATGCAGCAGGGAGTTTGTTCGAGTCTGTGGCATTCTCTGAACCTGTGCCCTTTCGCACAGTGGTTGCACTGTTGTTTGTTAAGGCAATTAGTCGAGATATGATTAAAGCCACAACACTGGTAACACCTCACCAGTGGGATGTAGTCATTGACTAAAATATTCGCCCACTGAATCGCTATATGTTTGGTGCGGACCAGAAGATCACGTATCTTTGGGGTAGTGGACAAAACAATATGTCTGCAATTTTCTATTGTGTTATTCCTGTAAAGTATTGTGCTTATCTTGGTATTATCTATAAATTGTTCTTTGGTTGTGGATTGGAAGATTTCGTTTTGGTCATAAATGATGGAGGTAATTTCTGCTTTTTTCACCGAAATAGGCACGTTGTTTAAAATAATTCTTGGCCTTCTACCTGCAGATATTTTGCTTTTAATTCTGTTGGATATTTCTGGAAGGTTTTCTATAGCGTTAGCCAGAATCTCAGCCTCCTTATGGTTCTCTGTCCTAAAACAGATTCCGTCATTTTTTACTTTCCGTACAGATTTGACTTTAATTTTAAGCTCCTGTGGCTTCACCTTATTTTTTATTTTATTCTCTATGTGCTGCATGTTGGTATTGCTGTCTGGGTCGTTGGATTTGGGATATAGAATCAAGGCATAGTTTCTGCCTGTCCTCATTGTTTACTTTATTCCTAAGAGACTCATTGATGGTTCTAGTAGTCATGCTAGGCCGAGTATTCAGTTTTGTAACTTTGGCATAAGTTGCAGTTGACACAGGTGGGGCAGCTTGAGGGATAACCTGGGGCCGGTTGGTTCTGACCTCCCTTAATATACCATGAAATTGCCCAAGACACGCGAACAGGCATGTTACTTTATCTCTGACTTCTTTACGTTCCTCCGATCTCAAGTTTGTACTATATTTCTCCTGCAGGAGATCCATGATTCTATTGAAGTGCTGATTGGCTTCGTTAAGTATTGTGTCTTCAAGAGAGTTCACTAACACCCGAAAATCAGATACACTATTTACACTAGGCACTCCGGAGTGATCAGTTGTAGATAAAGATGAAGGAATAGGCTCCCTGGTCGCCATACTGACTGGAGTGGAAAGGTAGATGAAAACTTCACTAATGGCACACTCACAAACACACAGATGGAAGATTCCACCAAGTAAACACCACGTAGACAACTTGATAGCTGAACACAATCAGGTGGTGAATCCAAGCTGGTCTAGCTAAACGGCCGGATGATGGTAAGTCCTGAGAAAATAAGTCCTTAACAAAACACAAATCAGCGGATAAGTGAAGAGTACCGTGCTGACTGACAAAACTGTGTGTCGATGAAGCTAACCAAAAGCGATGAAACATGTACATGCCGATCGGCGCCAGGCAAGCCAAACGGCGAATCAAACAGAAAATAAAATCCTTATCAACTAACAAAACGAAATAACCATATAACAGACATAATTTGACACTTAATCAGAAGCCGATACAATATTTTCCGTGAATCGAACACAGGGCCCACAATCTGCCGAACGCCAAGACATCTACGCTGCGCCAAGTGGCTAGGTCGACCATGTGGACCTTTGTTTAACAGTAAATTTTTAAATGCGAATAACTCAGAGTAAAACACATAGTAATGAAATTTGCAGGGCCTATAGAAGGCTTGGTGTGCTGACGAATACCGTCAAGTTTGCAGGCCGATTGCAAGCGAGAAGCCCGATGCGGGCAGATAAAACTTGAAAAATTCGGAGGACAATAACTCGAGAACGAGTTGACCGATTTAAATAAAACTTGTACCCATAAGAGGATAGTTAGCCGATTCCATCGATATATGGTAATCCAATGTGCGACGAAAATCCACTCTGAAATCGTAAACAAAAACGGAGCTGAAGCAGGCCAGCCACTTCACCCCACTGAAGTCAGGTAGGGGAGAAACAGGCAAAACACCCACCTCATCCCACCAAAGTCAGGTAGGGGAGAGTACCACCCGCAGTCATTCTAAGAAGTGAATTCTGACCTTAGGACTGAGGGCGCCTGCATGTGACCTTTGCCTTTTGACCTCACTTTGCTCCTAAACTCTAACGAGGAGAGACATCTTTTTACTACGTTTCAAGTCGACAGCATGCAATCTTGGATTTGTATTATATATCGATGCTATTGTAAATAACGCATTGCCGATACAAATTAAGTAAATTATTTGCCTGGATCATTTCTTAATTAATTTTTACCGGCAGAACATGTGGTTGAGGTCAATGTGGACATCACGGACAAGGAAGGATGTGCCACATATAGATTTTAGCCACGCCACTAAAGACTTTATATTAGGGTTGTCATTACATCTAATAATGTTATAATTGGGGTAAACTGTATATTGTTTGTGCAAAATAAAAAAATAATTTCGGAAGATAGTGTGATAAATGTGACAATGGTTGGCTAAAAAACCAAACTGTTTATATGGTTTTCGTTGTAATGTGTTAGGTTAATCACATCAAGTGACTAATCTAACACATTTTTAAAATTTTTTCTTCTTCTACTGTACACAATTTAAAGAATTTTTAAAATGTGTTACAGTGGGCACTCGATGTGATAAACTCTTACGTATGATAACCTTCATAGTTATATAAATCAAGTACTATAATATAATAGAAGGATTAGAAGTATGAAATAATCTAATTATCTTAATCTTTGCTGCTGTTATTTTTTGCCCAAGCAATGCCAGGCTCATTTGTTAGTTTTTTATATACAAATTATTTTGAATATATGTTTTTTCCAAGCATTTTGTGAACATTAACTAATATTTAAATGTTTGTAATGTTTCAATTGTTTTTTTTTAATCATTCTATTTTTCTGTTCTTTCATAACTTGTGATGAGTGCCTGAAAAAGATCTTTCAATAAGACTGAAAATATTAGTGTCATGAAAATGTTTGTTATTGCTGGATTTTTAAGGTGTTTGTTGATTGAGAAATAGATAAGCAATGATTTATACAAAGTTATCAGCAGTTTTTTTCTTGAGTTTTTCATTGTGGTGGTATATTTTCATGAACACAAAACAAAACTAATGCTACAAAACTACAGTAAAAAGAGTAATACAGCCAATCTTTTCAAATATTTTGTTAATTTGTACTGTATTCAAATATTACAAGAGTCAATATGGAATCAACAAATATTTGAATTAATGTCAAGTATTGGAAAGCTTTTGCAGAGATAAGGATATGTTTTGTATGTGAATAAAAGTTGTTGGTTGTATGATTTGTAAATTTACGAATTTTTTTTTATTATATTGTAAGTATTTATAAAGTAAAGTAGAGCATCGATTATATGACCCCCGATTAACCGTCACATCGGTTAACCGACCGTTCTAGTTGGCAAATTTCAAATGTCTGCTAGTGATGCGGTGCTACAATATTTGGCTGTCTTGGCTACTTTAATATTATTTTTACGTGTTTTAGCTGGCAACACTGGCTTGACCATGAAAGGGAGCCAGTATTTAAACGAGGCTTAATTTTCTAATTTTTAACGATACAATAGCACGATTATTATTTTTAAAAAAAATTTGATTGGCTTAATATGGAGGAAAATTCAACGCGAAGTAGGTTAATAGCGATATACTAATATACTAATTACATGGGATATAATAATATACTACACTAATAATGGATTTTTTCATACTTTTTGGTTATCTGACTTTTCAATTATCCGACCAACCCCAGTTTCTAATTGAGTCGGGTAATCGATGCTCTACTGTATTTGCAATATTGACAAGAGGTTAGAGTTCTTTGTTACCTTCATTTCATTTTGGTTTTAACAAATTTTCAGGTTTAGGTTCAAATTTTCTGGGCTCTTCATCAGGTTTTAGCTCGTAAAATTCGAATGACGAATGCTGTTCAAATAACGTCGTTCCTGCGATCGAATAGTTCTTTTAAAATTATACATTGCACCTGCCGTTCGAATTTAACCCGACCAACCCCAGTCCCTAATTGAGTCGGATAATCGATGCTCTACTGTATTTGCAATATTGACAAGAGGTTAGAGTTCTTTGTTACCTTCATTTCGTTTTGGTTTTAACAAATTTTCAGGTTCTTTTGTATTTATACAGTCATTATATAAAAACAACAGAAAAATTTATTTACTGTTGTGTAGTCTTGACCTGAAACAGCAGTTAACATAAATTTCATAAAGCCAGAGAGGTGTCAGGAAATTCACCTGTGTTCAAAGCACAGTCTCCTCAGTTAATCTTTCATTTGAAGAGTATTAACTAATTGTCTTGCACTTAAGGAGAGGCTCAGGAATGTATTTCATGGATTTTGATGAGCTTTTCCATGGTTATTCTGGGGCATTACAGAGTATTTCCCATAAAGTCCTATGATCCACTTTTGCGTTTTGTTTGATAAAATCACAGTTTTATTGCAAACAATGGATCATTTTCACATCAGGAAAATCAGCTGATAATTTTAACAAAAATTTTTATTTTATTTTATTTTAATTGAAACATCTCTCAAATCTATCAAATGTTTGATAGTTGCAAACAATAGTTATAATTGCAGGAGGTAAGATCCCCAAATTCCTACTCATGTGTTTGCACCTGATGAAAGTTTTTCTTTTTTTTTTAATTTTGTTTTTTATTTCTCCCTATAAATTATGATGATTTTTGAGCTAATATTATATTTTAGTATTTTTAATATTCTTATATTTTCAGTAATTTTTTGTTTATTATATAAAAGAATGATGTGCACTTAATTAGAATTTTTTTGTCATATCTCTTTGTGTTTGTTATAAAACAGTCATTGGGTTACCTTACTGTTGTCTTTCATCAGCTTTCATGATTTAATGAATATTTAACTTGTTTGATTACACATTTCAGATATTCTCTTAACTGGCTAATTGATAGGAGGGTTAAAAATAACTAAAAAAAAATTTCTCTTTTGATACGGAGAATGTTCATATATTAATTTTTATAAAGTCCATTTTAAAAAAGAAAGAAAGAGAAAAAAATAAAGAAAAAAGGACTTTCACCCATTCTACATGCTAAAAGCCCTGAAATTGTCTTTTCTAGTTTTCTTATTCATTCATACTACTTTATGAATGCAAATTCTAAAATCTACATTGTGCTTCACTTAGATCATTCTAAGTTTAAAAATCAAAACTATTGGATTATTATGCAAGTTTGTTAATGCAGAATCCTAACAACAACAACATTCATCTTTGCATTGAAATAGTGCTTTTTGGTAAATATACGAAACAAATATTTTTTAAATTGTAGCTAAAATTAAAATACTGTTTATATAAATATCAATTTTAAGTACTGTTCGAACTCATGAACGAACTTATTTGAACATCATTCGTTAATGGCTTTCGTTAAATTCGAACGGCAGGGGCAACGTATAATTTTAAAAGAACTATTCGATCGCAGGAACGACGTTATTTGAACAGCATTCATCATTCGAATTTTACGAGCTAAAACCTGATGAAGAGCCCAGAAGGGGTTAGAAAACGTTTGTTTTTATGATTAGTCGATCGTTCCACACCATAAATTGGTTTAACGTTTGTGTTTAAAATCAAAATAGCCAGAATCTATGAACTGATATAATTTAACTTTAATTTTCCTCAAAAATGTAAAAAAAAAGTCTCTCTACAGTACTGAGCATGTTTCTGGGAATATCAACAGAAAAGATAATAGTTGTAGTTGCTTTTTCTATCTCTTGTTATTATTGTTACCACCTGTCTTTAATGAATGGCATTGTTGCATTATCATATGAGAAACATGTTTGTGAATTAATTATAAATCCAATTTCGCTGAATATTTTTCATTATTTTATTATTCCATTAAAAATTTAATCTTAATTTAAGTAATTTTATTATTATTATTGTAGGTGATAATGAATCTGGAAAGACTTCACTGATTGCTAAATTGCAAGGCAACGATGATCCTAAAAAAGGATCTGGATTAGAATATCATTATATCTATATCAGAGATGAATACAGAGATGGTATGTTTAAGTTTTATTTTATATCTACAAATAGATCTGTATTAAATAATGTTCTCTCCTATAATTATAAAAGATATAGAAAAATGTTGATATTTCAAGTCAGTATTTAATGAAATAAGATCTCATTCTAATACTAATGATACTATAATACTAGATGTATTGTAGTTATAAGTTATTATCTCCATTACTTGGAATAAGCATTTTGCAGATACATTCAAAATTTAGATCCTGCATTTAACTGTTCTGTGGATAGAATATTTAATTTAGTGAATGGTTGTGCTAAATATCATATTTTAGTGCATATAACTCTCAGATTATCTATGTATAAAAAAACATTTTAAATGGGAGTTATACACTGACTTTAAACTGCAGTTATGATTGATTAGAATTTACATAATTGTTTTATTTATCAAAATTTTTGAGGAAAAAATTATTCATTTGTTTTTGCAAGTCCTTATATTAATTTTAAAAAATAAAAAAATATTTTTGAGACTTCCTTAGCCTTAGAAAATTTTAACTTTTCATTGGGCATTTTATTCAAAGACAAAATAAAGACTAAATTATCATTTTTCAAAATCTATACAATTTATTAAAGTTATTGAGGATCTCCAATGAAAATAATAATATAATTCTGTAATAATTTGAAGACAGAATTTGCATAAACAGGGACCACCATTTTTAATTCCGTGTTTAAGACAATACAATTCCGGCAACCAACCTTCCTTTTTAGGATACTAGCCACCAAAATGCTAAAAAGTCCTTTTAAAAACACAAATTTTCCAAAAACACAAATTTGGGTGAATCTGTCTACAAATTATTAAATATGAAAAGAACCATCGGACAAAATGAAATTACGAATATAATTCTTATTAATAATACATTTTATTTATTAACCCAATCAGGCCTTATTTCTAGATCATTTGGAATTTCACACTTTTTTTTTTTTACTGAATTTCTGATGTAGCAGGAATGAAAAATTCCTACTTTCAAATGATATCAAATTAAAAAAAAACTAATTAGAGCAAATAAACATTGTAGGTGCAACATTAATATTATATTGTATGGCTCATAGTGACTCACTATTGCTCACTATTCACTACTATTTTTAAAAGTACCACACTTTAATCACTAATTTTGAGATCTGAGAATACATTACATATTATATACAATATTTTGGATACAATTATGACAATGTTACAAGGTTTGTGACAAAATAGATGGGGTAATCATTAATGATGTATCCACCTCGCAAGTGTTTATCATGACATTGCCTATTAGCTAGAGAAAGTATGGTGGTGTGAGCAAAAAAGGGGCTAGAGAGACTAGCTAATTCCTACAAAGTCATCTTGAAGACCCAGCAGTCACTTAACATAAATTTGGAAATGAGCCAAGAATGTTATCAAACTTGCATTATTTTTACTTCAAATTTTTATTAAAATTTCAAAATATGAAAATACCACCAAGATAATGTATTTTGTACCAAGTGGATCTAAAATGACATAATTTATGTAGATTAATATCTATAATAAATTAATACCGAAATGCAACAATGGCGGCTGATGTTTCGATTTGGGGAAAAATTGACCTGGACTTTAATGCCATCTTTGAAGACAATTTTCTACTATGTAAATAGTCACATGTGCCACAATTGTTGGTTGGTGTGCCGAGTTTCAAACATCAGCAGCACAGCATTTACACTGAAATCTATTGGCTGCAGTGTGAGTCAGAGAAGAAGAAAGAAGTACTCGTCACATCTTACTTTGAAAATAGAAATAAAACTGACAATTAATAAACACTGAAAACTGACATGTGCAAATGAAGATTACACTTGTAGAAGCTAGTAATGGGATGATTACTTAGTTTTATAACCCCTGGATAATTAGTTTTATAAGCTGCATGGATTACAGGCCTATTTATCATTTACCCTTCTTTTTGGAGACCATCCCCTTTTTTTTTACTAGCTTCCTGCCCTACTCTGCCTATTTACGTAATCATCACTATACAGTTGTAAAATTATCATATAATTTAGTTAGAAATGAACCTTTCTATGAGAAAGATGTCCACGAAGAAAAGAAAATTTCCCTCAGTTTACAAAAAAGAAGTTATTTGCAAGTTAGAACCTGGTGCTAAAACATTGAAATGTATAGAAAGTTTTTTAGTACAAAGCTAAAACTAGCAATATTTGCTGGATATAATCATTCACTTTTATAACCACTTTAAAGGTATGTTTTGGAAGAATAAACCAAAGTATCCTTTGAATCCAATGTTTAAACTGTTGTTTTATATTCCGAAACCATGTCTTTTTTTCTTCTATTAATTTGTTATCACTGCTAGGTGCACACACAGACACTTGGCAATTCTATCATCAACTTTTATTCAGGAATTCCCAAATAAACGTTGATGATAGAATTGCCAAGTGTCTGTGTATGCACCTAGTAGTGATAACAAATTAATAGTTTAAATTGTTACTATGATTGATGTTGGAGAGTTCCAAATATTGGTGTAAACTCTGGTGCAGATTGTACCTTTTACTGAAAAGGGATCAGCAAGAACTCTAATTCAAAATGCATTTAAATAAAATATCTGAGAATAAAATTGTCTTCTGAGTAATTCTTGAACTCAGGTGAACATTGGATTCAAAGGACATAGCATTTCAGTTTGTCAAAAAACCCTTTTAATTGGTTATAAAAGTGAAAGTTTTCTTTGTCATCTTTGACAGTAAGACATTATGGAAAAACAAAGCTATCATCAATTTTAAGATTTATAGATAAAAAGACTAACTGAGATTGAGTATACTAATTAGTGTTATCTTTAATTATGAAAAAGTAAATTGTTTAATATTAATTATATTGTAGTTTATACTGTGTTTTTATTAATAGTTATATAATGTATTTACACACATATACATACATACATACATACATACATAGTTTTTTAATAAATTATTTAGAATAAAAAATTAAAAGAAATTCACTAATCACCAGTGGCATAGCTACAAATTTCGTCACCTGCAGGGCACACCCAAAGTGTTTGTACCCAAAACATTTTCCCACTAGTTATGTCAGTGCTCTTCATGGATATAATGAGGAAATCTTGTTGGTTCCCTAATGCTCATTATAACAGAGTTCAACTGTATTTTATATACTTCAATTGTACTTGAGTTGAAAAATTACTGTGTCTGTAGATTTTATGATTTAAAAATACTATACATATAATGTTTAAAAAATTGTTATTACTATTATATAAATTTTTAAGTAATTAGCATAAATTTTTAAAAAATTTCAGATCATACACGTTTGGGAGTATGGGTTGTGGATGGAGATCCATGGCACAGAAATCTTTTAAAATTTGTATTAAATGATGAAACACTTCCTCATACAACTGTTCTCCTTACTGCTTCTATGACACAACCATGGAATATTTTGGAATCATTACAGAATTGGGCACTTATCTTGGATGAACATATTGATAGATTAAGATTACCTCAAGAAATTTTAGAACAACACAGACAAAGAAGTAAGTAATCTTAAATTGAATTTAAAGTTGAAAATTTATTTATTTAGCTTTTTGTTGTCTATGATTAGAATTTGATATATATATATTTTTTTAATTGAATACATTGTTATCAAGTGTTTTGTATTTTAAGAGAAGAATGTGTAAAATTATTGAAGAATTGCATATTGTGTAAATGATATATAAAAAAATTTAACCACATAAAAATGCTGATTCACTTAAGAGGTTCTTTTCATTGAGCTGCAATTTGAAGACCTATAAATTCCCACTGTTGTCTGTCTGGCTGTCTGTCTTTCCTTAATGTCAAGAACGATGTTAGATAGATGAAAGTCAAGACCAGGTATGGAATGCTTAGGCTCAGAAGGCCCTGATTAACTATATACTATAACTATATTCCAGGTTGGACAAGAAGTCGCATTATTTCAGTTCCAAAATTTTCTTATGAATGGAGTTAGATAGGTGACTCCATGACTTTTATATTATGTATAGAGGCAAGACACCACAAATTTGACATGGAGAACATATATTTTAAATTGAATGAATTAAGAATATGATTAAAAATTGCAGCCTGGCATTTTGATGATGTCAAAATAAATAACTGCTCATTCAATGTATAAAATGCTTTTTGAGCCAGATCAGCTCATTACTAGACTTGTTTTAGAATTGCAAAATTTTAAGATGAAATTTTGAATCAGTTAGTTAGCACTTGTTAAAAATTGCTGGATTTTAGGTTTTTAATTGTTTTAATTCAATTATACCCAGTTTTGCGTGGTAATTTTGAATTAATTGTGTAAAAGCTTAGATTTGTTGTTCGATTTTATGGAATTTGGAATTTACCTGATGATGATCAATCTGGCTCAAAAAACGCTACACATTGAACAAGAAAGACTTGTGTAAATGAATTAGCATCTTTTGTATGGTTAAATGGAAATATAGGCTTGCACATAGATGATATATAAATAATTTTATACTGATGTACATTTGTGTGTTTTTGAAGTAAAAATAAAACTCATTTGATTAATATTAGTAAATGATTTTTACCATTTTTAATACTATATCTCCTCAATTCTAAAATGCACTGAGTTTGAAATTGAATTTTAAGATTTTTTTTATTGAGGGGAAAATTTTTTTACATAATCAGTTTTAGTAATAGTGCATATTTAAGTTAAACTTCTTTTAAAGGATTCATTAAAAGAAGTTTGAATATACATTATCAACAAAGCTCATTTAAACTGACCTGACTATTAAGCAGTATAGCTGAAACAGGGATCATTCTTTAAACAAAAACTATCAAAGATTCTTTATATACAAGAGAGGTAAAAATACAAATCTATTTAGGATCAACATTTTTCACTGTTGTTCTCTAACTTGAAATATTTACTGCACTTTAGAGCTTTGAGTTAGAGAAGTTTACTGTATTATTTAATATCAAATCATAATACTTCACAAGAATTTTTTTAAAATATTTTTTGCTTGTATTAGAACTTGTATGATGTACTGTACAATTTGAACATAACTTAATTCAAATTTAATTGAAATTTAACAAAGAAAAAAAATAGTTTTGAAATTTTATATTAACAATTTATAAGTCAATAAATGTATTACTAAGTTACTGAAATTTAGAAATTATGTAATAATTGTACACTATTTTAACAGTCTTAAAGAGATTTCAAGATTATATTGAACCTGGTGATGAAATAGAAGGTGTTACTTCTCCTCTTAAACGAACATTTAATTTTGGTGAAGAAGATTCTTTATTAACTCTTGGAGAAAATACATTAATTCAGAATCTTGGAATTGATATTGCTGTCATCATTACAAAGGTATTTTTATTATTATTATGTTATGAATTAGTTTACGTAATTTAAATAAGTTTACTTTTAAGTCTTTTTCTGGTTTTATAATCTAAAATTATAGCGTCTGCTAAATGGAAAGAAAGATATAATAAATATTGGATACTTTTTAAAATAATTTTTTTGCTAGTGCAAAAGCAGATTAACTTTGTCATTGATGAGTTCTGAAGACAAATTTTAAAGTTAGTGAAATTGAACCTTTTAACTAGTATTCAAGAAAAATTGTCACAAGACTAACTTCCATAATGAATGATCTATAAGATAAATTTCTAAGATAGAAATAAAATCAAATTATATTCTATATTATGAATTTGTTTTTTGAAATAGATGGAACACTATCTTTTTTATTCTCTTTATTCAAATTTCATACATTTAAATTTATATATTAATTGATGATTATTATTATATTAAGAAATTTGCTTTTGTTTTTGAAATTATAGAAGCAATATAAAAGTATAGTAGAGCATTGATTATCCGACTCACTTGGGGACTGGGGTTGGTCAGATAACTGAAAAAACGAATAACCAAAAAATATGAAAAAATACATTATTAGTATAGTATATTAGTATATCCCATGTAATTAGTATATTAGTATATTGCTATTAACCTACTTTGCGTTGAATTTTCATCAATGTTAAGCCTAACAAAAATTTTTTTAAAATAATAATTGTCGCTATTGTATTGTTAAAAATTAGAAAATTAAGCTTTGTTTAAATACTGGCTCCCTTTCATGGTCAAGCCAGTGTTGCCCGCTAAAACATGCAAAAATAATATTAAAATAGCCAAGACATAGCCAAATATTGTAGCACCACATCATTAGCGGACATTTGAATTTGCTGACTAGAACACGGTCGGTTAACCGATGTGACAGTTGATCAGGGGTCGGATAATCGATGCTCTACTGTATCGTCTTAATATCAAACAGTAAATTATGTATGTTTTTTATAATGTTATAAAATGATGTATAATGTATGTTTTTGCATCACCTAATGTATTAGTCTATTCAGTTCAAAATAAAGTATAAAATCATAAATAACTCAATTTATTTTTGCAAAAATTAAACAAAAACAATGAACTACAATAAACTGTTTTTTTATTTCAGACAAAATAGATTAGGTTTCATTCACAGATAATTCTATTGTGATCATAACATGTCATCTGTTTTAGTGGTTAAATCTGAATCTGCCATTAGAATGAATTTATCAAATTTTTTAAATGCATGCTTAAATTTATTTATTTATTTTTGAAAAAAAAAGAAAAATACTATTGCCAGTTAGTCTAAAAAGTAGGTTAAATTCATTCAATAAATAATTTATTAAGTATACTTGATGAAAATTGATTTAAGTTCCAAAAATAGAATTTCTTTTTAAGTAATATAAAATCTTATTTAGCAACAACTGAGTTTATTTTTTTAGGAAATTAATATGAAAATATGTTTAGCAAAGGGTTAAGCTAAAAGTAAAAAGTCTGTATCCATCTTTTATTTCAGTCTCTTTTCATAAGAAGTTATTCACTTCAGTGAGTTTTCTGCTTATTTATTGTCTTGAAATTTCTAAGGAAAACCTCTCATCTAGAGCAATGTGTGTCAAAATGTGATAAGCATATGATAGGTCGTTAAAAGTTCAAGTGTTAATTTTTGGTTAAGTTATTTTGTATGAATTATTCTACTCAAGTTGCAGTAAGTGCTGTATTTGGTCAGTTTACAAATATGTGAGCCGTTCACAGCCCGGAACACATATTTGTAAAATCTAAGTGATTCGTACAACATGGAATTCATATAAAACGGAATTATCAACAGTGTTATAGGGGGGTCGACTGTATTTACTAATTAATTTGGCATATATTTTATGTATATTGCACAAAATTTGGGACCATGATTATTATTTAGCACTTATTTAACTGCTGCTTATGGTAAATAAATGTTTTGTTTTATTTGGAAAAATGTTTTTGGTCTTAATCAGATCATTATCAGTTTTTTTGCAGCTTGTACAAACTTCTTTTTCATGTCTTCTATCCAGTGGTGATATTTGAAATATTTAACAAAGGGTTCGCTAACAGAAAATTTTTCCTTAACAATTTTTTTTTTTTGCTCAAATGGTGCATCGGAAGGTTCTAGTTTAGTAGTGTTACAGAGTATAATACGTATATTTTAATATATTTTTTAAAAGAAACAAAACCACTGAGAAATGTTACGTGTGTTTAACAACGGGTTTGGAAAACTTTGAAAATGTTAACAACGGGTTCGGCCGAACCTGTGCGAACCCGCTGAATATCACCACTGCTTCTCTCATAGTAGTTGGTAGGAACATCACTTTTTCTTGACGTATTGATGATAATGATGATAATTAATCAGAAACGGGTATTGGAAAAACCTGACATTCCAGGAACTAATATTTAATATTAGTTTATTGGAAATATTCACATCAATAAAGCAGAAAGTATGCAATGGCCCATACACAAGGTCATGTCCGTCACAGTGGACTTCTCTTTCGTGTAGTCAGGTGCACTTGAGTTGTACGCGGTTCTACTGTCCCGGTTTTAGGGAAGATAGGGTAAGTTTACGGTTGCCATCCAGCTGGCATTGGACCAGCTTGACCGACAATTTGTATTCTGCATATCTATATAAATATTAAAAACAAAATGTTCCATCAATGCCACACACAAATAACAAATTTAAAAATTAATTTGATTTACAATTTGAAAATTTCATAACTTTTAAATGGTTTTTAGAAACATTATTTTAATTTTTGATTGATTTGATTTTAATTAATTTGGTTTTATTTTTACTTTTGCTTTTGGTATAAAGGCCAGAGTTTTAATTATTATTATTTTTAATAATTTTTATTTATTTAATTTTGCCTGCATTTTTTGAATCCTTAATTACANGTATCGTTAAAAATTAGAAAATTAAGCTTTGTTTAAATACTGGCTCCCTTTCATGGTCAAGCCAGTGTTGCCCGCTAAAACATGCAAAAATAATATTAAAATAGCCAAGACATAGCCAAATATTGTAGCACCACATCATTAGCGGACATTTGAATTTGCTGACTAGAACACGGTCGGTTAACCGATGTGACAGTTGATCAGGGGTCGGATAATCGATGCTCTACTGTATCGTCTTAATATCAAACAGTAAATTATGTATGTTTTTTATAATGTTATAAAATGATGTATAATGTATGTTTTTGCATCACCTAATGTATTAGTCTATTCAGTTCAAAATAAAGTATAAAATCATAAATAACTCAATTTATTTTTGCAAAAATTAAACAAAAACAATGAACTACAATAAACTGTTTTTTTATTTCAGACAAAATAGATTAGGTTTCATTCACAGATAATTCTATTGTGATCATAACATGTCATCTGTTTTAGTGGTTAAATCTGAATCTGCCATTAGAATGAATTTATCAAATTTTTTAAATGCATGCTTAAATTTATTTATTTATTTTTGAAAAAAAAAGAAAAATACTATTGCCAGTTAGTCTAAAAAGTAGGTTAAATTCATTCAATAAATAATTTATTAAGTATACTTGATGAAAATTGATTTAAGTTCCAAAAATAGAATTTCTTTTTAAGTAATATAAAATCTTATTTAGCAACAACTGAGTTTATTTTTTTAGGAAATTAATATGAAAATATGTTTAGCAAAGGGTTAAGCTAAAAGTAAAAAGTCTGTATCCATCTTTTATTTCAGTCTCTTTTCATAAGAAGTTATTCACTTCAGTGAGTTTTCTGCTTATTTATTGTCTTGAAATTTCTAAGGAAAACCTCTCATCTAGAGCAATGTGTGTCAAAATGTGATAAGCATATGATAGGTCGTTAAAAGTTCAAGTGTTAATTTTTGGTTAAGTTATTTTGTATGAATTATTCTACTCAAGTTGCAGTAAGTGCTGTATTTGGTCAGTTTACAAATATGTGAGCCGTTCACAGCCCGGAACACATATTTGTAAAATCTAAGTGATTCGTACAACATGGAATTCATATAAAACGGAATTATCAACAGTGTTATAGGGGGGTCGACTGTATTTACTAATTAATTTGGCATATATTTTATGTATATTGCACAAAATTTGGGACCATGATTATTATTTAGCACTTATTTAACTGCTGCTTATGGTAAATAAATGTTTTGTTTTATTTGGAAAAATGTTTTTGGTCTTAATCAGATCATTATCAGTTTTTTTGCAGCTTGTACAAACTTCTTTTTCATGTCTTCTCTCCAGTGGTGATATTTGAAATATTTAACAAAGGGTTCGCTAACAGAAAATTTTTCCTTAACAATTTTTTTTTTTTGCTCAAATGGTGCATTAGCGACATTAGCGCAAAAACTGACCTTAAGATACCCATATAAATAAAAAAGATGCGTTCGCAAAATTAAGTCAGTTAAAATTTAACATTGTTTATGCCAGAACTATATTTTTTTTATAAATAATAAAAAAGAGTGTTCAAAATGGTTTATTTTGTACATATTTTAATATTTTTCATTCAAAATATTTTATAAACATAAAAATTGGCTTTTTTTAATCAGAAAAAGTCATAGGGAAAGCAGTTAAACAAGAAAAACTTTTCTAAATCATTTATTTTATCGTTAGGTATTATTATAATAATAGACAGATGTCATCGTCTCTCGAAATACAATATCTTTCTTATTTCGCTGTCGATAGCCCGACACGTGTTCCGCAGCCATCTTGTATTTTCTCACGCGCGTGGGATTGTGGGATCTCTCTTATGACTGGATCTAGTTTCGAGAACTCTCTCGAGTCAATCGCGATTGAACCTCGTTTTAGTCGAGATTGAAACGGTCGATGGAGGTTGCACTAGGCAAACAGGGTATAAGGCTCTAGTTTAGTAGTGTTACAGAGTATAATACGTATATTTTAATATATTTTTTAAAAGAAACAAAACCACTGAGAAATGTTACGTGTGTTTAACAACGGGTTTGGAAAACTTTGAAAATGTTAACAACGGGTTCGGCCGAACCTGTGCGAACCCGCTGAATATCACCACTGCTTCTCTCATAGTAGTTGGTAGGAACATCACTTTTTCTTGACGTATTGATGATAATGATGATAATTAATCAGAAACGGGTATTGGAAAAACCTGACATTCCAGGAACTAATATTTAATATTAGTTTATTGGAAATATTCACATCAATAAAGCAGAAAGTATGCAATGGCCCATACACAAGGTCATGTCCGTCACAGTGGACTTCTCTTTCGTGTAGTCAGGTGCACTTGAGTTGTACGCGGTTCTACTGTCCCGGTTTTAGGGAAGATAGGGTAAGTTTACGGTTGCCATCCAGCTGGCATTGGACCAGCTTGACCGACAATTTGTATTCTGCATATCTATATAAATATTAAAAACAAAATGTTCCATCAATGCCACACACAAATAACAAATTTAAAAATTAATTTGATTTACAATTTGAAAATTTCATAACTTTTAAATGGTTTTTAGAAACATTATTTTAATTTTTGATTGATTTGATTTTAATTAATTTGGTTTTATTTTTACTTTTGCTTTTGGTATAAAGGCCAGAGTTTTAATTATTATTATTTTTAATAATTTTTATTTATTTAATTTTGCCTGCATTTTTTGAATCCTTAATTGAAATTTTTAAAATTAATTTCAACTTTTTTCCTTTTGTGATATAACTATAGAAAATGTTTTAGTGTTGTTTTGCACAAAAGATAATCAAATTTAAATTTATTATAAATTTTTAGTAATTTTGTTAATTTTTGTTTCATAAATTTGCTTGCTTTTTAAAATTTTTAATTATAAGCAAATTAATATTGATTCAACTATTGGGCTATCTAGTTTCAAATTGAGGCCAGCAGTTAACAAAATATCTTAAAATGTAAATAAAACTATATTTTAATTGAAAAATATTATATAAAATTGCTTTTAATATTTAGTATGTTTACTTATAATGATAAAATGACTTTCTCATTATAATTATGAAAGTTTTTGTTGTGATTCACAAATGATGCTATAATATGTTAAATTTTCAAATGCAGTTCACATATTTCTGAGTAAAAATACTTATTCATGCTAAATTTAATGCCATTTTGAGTTTTAAAATCTGATTATTTTAAGGTGAGTCATTCTCATCTTAAAATAATCAGATTTTAACTTCAGTTAACTTGTGATGGTGATATTTGTTCAACTCATTGCATCATTTGCCAAACTTCATTTAGGATTGCAACCCTACATGACATGATGGGATAGTTCATTGAGTAAAAGGGAATTAGCTGTAATTTCTTTGGGGGTAGTGTCGGAATGTTAACTTTATCCGAAATATGATTACAAATTTATTTCTTAGTACACAATAAAAGTATGTGTATCCACATATAAATGAAGAATTTTCATGTTTCTTTCAAAAGATTGATTCTTGATTTCCTAATTGTTTTCCATTTTAAGCTTAATGTTTATTAATTAATGAATGTACTGTGCTTTTAATGTAAATTGTTAATTTTTTTAAACTAAAATAAACTTTAGAAAGTATTCAAAAGAATTAGAATCTGGAGGACTTTTGGGTATCATCCCATCACTAGTCTGGGGGGGGGTTATTGAACAAGTCATCCATGACCTATCCTGTATTTCCAAATTCCTGGTTTAATAGTGTAATGCATAGCTCTAACAAAATATGGTGGTGCCTATCTTGCTGAAATTACATTTCTCTTCTCAAATTTAGTGATTCATCTTTTATAATCAATATCAGAAAGGGACTGAACAATTTGAATCAATTGCAAGCTTCACCTACCTACAAGTTTTAGTAGATGCATGTTATAAGAAAATGCTTTATATGAAAGTTTTTTTTTGTAGAATCAAAATTATACACTTTTGTAGAAATCCATTTGAAATTTCAACATTTCCATCATCCTAAGAGTAAGAGCAACATAATTTTATCATAGTTATGAAGATTTTTGAAACCATGAAAAAATAAAAATAAAAAAAAAGACTGTTTGCATCAGATAAGCTGTTTTAGAGTGATTAGTTCATAACACAACATGGAATACCTTGTATATTAATGTGTTTAATTTTTAGCTATAGAACTTATAATGAAATGTTAATTATTAAATTATTTAAGATTGTTTATATATTGTAAATTTTATTCTCTCACCAGACAGATTATATGTCAGTTCTTGAAAAAGATTATGATTATAAAGAAGAACATTTTGATTTCATTCAACAAGCTATAAGAAAATTTTGTCTTCAATGTATCCTTTATATCACTAAGTAGAGTTGCTTTTATATTATGCCAATTGGCAAGTATAAACAAAGAGAGAAAAAACGGGCAGTATACAGTTAAATGTGCAAAAAGTTAAATAAAATTTTATAAAAACATTGATATACTGTAATTATTTTTAAATATTATATTTATTTTTAGTATTTTAGTTGCTAAATTAAAGCTAAATTTTTATAAATAATATATATATATATAGCTAAGCTAATATTGTTTGGCAAATTAATATTTCTTTAATACATACTAGATGGAGCATCGTTATTTTATGTATCTGTAAAAGAAGATAAAAATTGTGATCTTTTATATAATTATCTAGTCCATAGGATATATAATTTTCCATTTAAGACACCAGCATTGGTAGTTGAAAAGGATGCCATATTCATGTAAGTATTGTAAAATGTAACTAAGATAATCCATTTAAAAATACAGTACAATCTCAATAATTCAGATTTAAATTTTCTGAAACTGTGTTGTCTTAATTTCTTTATTTAGTTGAAACATTACTCTTAAACCATGGTTTAAGAGTAATGTTTTCAACTAAATAAAGATGGATTACTGCCAAGTGTTGAAATAGAAACACACCTTGTGTTAGTGAATCAAAAAAATAATTCAGCTGTTTGCTAGTTCAAAATGTCCAGTAATCTTACAATAGACAACTTTCAGATTTTATTGGCATTGTTGCCTAGTCATAGACAAGCTTCCCACTAGTTCAAACTCCAGTTCCCACTAAACATGGAATGATATCAATTCAGGCTTGAACACTTGAGCTTGAGCACTATATTAAAGACTAGTAGCCCAGGACGTCCCCTAGTGGGCTTTCTAGCAGCAGTAGTGTCATTCTGTGGTATAAAATAATAAAATTCATATAAATAATAAATTCCTATTACAAATAAAAATAATAATATATACTGTTAATAAATAAATTATACTGTTAATTTAAATAATAGCTGAAAATCATTGCTGGGGACACCCCCTAGTGTGCATTCTAGGCATTCCATGACAGATGACAGATATACAAACAATGGGATCAATGGCTTATGAGTAGATTATTACGTAAACATTATGATTGTTAAATATTGTCATTGCCATCTTAGGCTGCTCAAAAACCATACAATATCTTATAACTCAATACTATATAAATATAAAAATTAATCCCCTGAAATTTCCCACTAAATTTAGTGAGAATCAATCATCTTGGCAACATGTTTGGATGTTTTAATCATTAGTCCAACTTGTATTTTGCTGCAACATTAACAGTTGAGTCCATATTGTCCACATGTTTGTGTGTTAAATTGTTATTATTACATCAATTGTGCTCATATTTAATCACATTTTTATTGTTTTTAAATAATTAACTCGTCAAAATGTGTGAACTTTCAATAATCTGGCAATCTCCTTAATTCAACAATGTTTCATATATGCCAGATTATCAAGATTGTACTGCAGTTTTTTTTATTAAATTAAAAGCATTATTATTTTAATTTAGAATAAATATGAAAAATAATTTTATTATTGGATAAGGCAAGTTGAGTGTATTTTGAGAGGCTTTATTTTCCTTATGACAATACATAGCTGTTTTAATTATACATTCATTCAACTTTTTAAGAATTGAAATTTTATTTATTCTGAAACATTTTCAGAATTAACATTTCATTTTCATAAAATAATAATAATAATATCAGGGTTAGTATCTCAGGGTTAGTAACACTTCCATACAAACAAACGAAATATTCATTAGGCGAGGAATTTTTCAAGGAGATTCCTTGAGTCCTCTCTGGTTCTGCCTAGCCCTGAATCCATTATCCAACATGTTAAACAACACGCAATACGGCTACAATATCAGACACGAAAAAACAACACAGTTTACACTCTCACATCTCATGTACATGGACGACATAAAACTTTATGCATCCACACAAAAACAACTTCATCAACTCCTACAAATCACACATTCATACACTAAGGACATACAAATGGAGTTTGGCCTAGACAAATGCAAAAAACTTCACATAGAAAAAGGAATCCTGAAGAAAGAAGATTTTGCACTTGGAAATGGAGACGTTATTGAATCCATGGAAGAGGGCGAGTTCTACAAGTACTTAGGATTCCAACAGGCCAAACTAACAGAACATACACAAATAAAGCAACGATTAATTAAAGAATACCAAAGTAGGTTAAACGCTATACTTAGAACACAGTTAAATGCAAAACACACAGTTAAAGCAATAAACACATATGTCATCCCAGTACTCACATACTCTTTTGGAGTTATACATTGGACTCACACAGATCTCGAGCAACTCCAAAGGAAAACAAGAACAACACTTACTAAGCATAAACAACATCATCCTAAATCCGCCACAGAAAGATTAACCCTTCCACGTAAAGAAGGCGGACGTGGCCTGATTGACATAGTTAACCTTCACTACAAACAAATACAGTCACTGCGAGAGTTTTTCTACAAGAAACAAGAAACATCACAGTTACATAAAGCAGTAACTCTAGCAGACTCAAATAACACACCATTAAACTTACACTCACATCATACAGACATGACACAACACATAAAAAGCATAGACACCATCAAGCAATCGTGGGCTCGAAAGGCACTCCATGGCAGGCATCCTTATGACCTGGCCCAGGATTTTGTTGACAAAACTGCGTCAAACAGCTGGTTAGATCGGGGATGCCTCTTTGGGGAGACGGAAGGATTCATGATTGCCATACAGGATCAGGTCATAAATACTAAAAACTACAGAAAACACATACTCAAAGATACAACACTCACAAATGACACATGCAGAAAATGTCACATCATGCCAGAAACTATACAACACATCACTTCTGGTTGCAAGCTCTTGGCACAGACAGATTACTTACATAGACACAATCAAGTAGCAAATATAATACACCAAGAGCTTGCAAAGAAACACAAATTGGCAGACATCCACGAACCATACTACAAGTATATTCCACAGACAGTATTGGAAAACAACACGCACAAAATGTACTACGACAGAGCCATAATCACAGATAAAACAATTTACCACAACAGACCAGACATCACACTCATTGACAAACACAATAAAATCACATACATTATAGACATAGCCATTCCAAACACTCACAATGTACAAAACACATGCACTGAAAAAATTAGCAAGTACACAGAACTTGCCCAGGAAATAAGGCATCTGTGGAGGATGGATAGGGTAGTTATTGTACCTGTTGTTCTCTCCTGTACAACACCTGTACCACACACACTACACAAAAGCCTGGGAACATTAGAATTGAGTAGAAATACATACATAACACTACAGAAGGCCACTATATTGAATACATGCCACATTGTTAGGAAATTCCTGAATACAGACACTGACACACTTATTTAATTTTAGTTTTGTTTTGGTTGCTATGCCTTGACTCTGGTCCGGCATAGTACACAGCCACCGGTGTGAACCGAGTAAAACTCACTAAACTCAACATAATAATAATAAATGCCTTGACTCTGGTCCGGCATAGTACACAGCCACCGGTGTGAACCGAGTAAAACTCACTAAACTCAACATAATAATATTGATAATAATAATTGTTTGGCTGTTAATTTTTGTCTTCAAAGATTGAATGTGTAGTGAGAGTTGAAACTTAACTCCTAATCAAACTATTTTTTCTATTTTTAAATTAATTGATTATTATATTGTAGCTACACTTGAGTGTTGTGACGTTACCAATAGCGACTTTTAGAGTATAAGGGTGTTTGCTAGCACTTTCAATAGCATAAAGCTACCATCATAAGGCAAATATCGAATACAACTGCTATCAAATTTTAAAAGCCACTACAAATGTTGATACACCCATTTCAGTATTAAATTATTCTAATCAATTCATTTACAGGCCACATTAATAACTAAAAACTATTTAATGTTTTTGATATTTGTCAATTATTGATTTGTTTGGCAAATTTATTAATGATTAGACAATTAACAGATCTAAAAATAATAAATTTATTATGTATAGTATTTATGTATAAATGTAAATGTCTCCAAGAAGCATAAAATAAATGGATTCGATTATTGTGTTGTATTTTTAAATATAGTGAAACTTTTGAAGTTGATCATTTCTTTTAGGATACTACTTTAATATGACATGTTTCCTCTGGAACAGATTTTGTTGGCCCTTATAACCAATTCAATTTGATCCCCTTTCAAAAAATCATTATTTTATTTCAATGATGGTGATGACTTCACTCTCTTACAGTATGATAATGTAAAAAAAAAAAACTTTTAAAGTGGTCTAAAAGTGAAATATTCTATGTACTGTATACTATAAATGCAAAACTGTCTTTTAAACATAATTTCCTCTGCCAACAAAACAGCTACATGAAGATGAATAGCAGAATGTTTGAGGCAAAGTTTACTATTAATGGCCCTTTATTGTTTTCTATTTTTGGTGCTTATGTAGTACACTCTTAACACTTTAGGTCACAATCACCCCTTTATTTCAGTGAAGTGAAGAAGTGATTATAATCTAAGATGGTCAAGTATACACAGTTGGAAGGAATTTGAGAGGATTTCTGAGTTACTGTAATTTATATACAGTGTGTACTGTATTTAATTTTATTCTGATTTTGATTACTGTAATAATAATAATAATAATGTGATTTTAAATTTGTCTTTAAATGTCTATACTGTTGTTCTAATGTAAAATATATTTGTATTTCAGTCCATCCGGATGGGACAATGACAAAAAAATAGCCATTTTATATGAAAATTTAGTATCTGTTAAACCAGATGATTCTTATACAGATGTTATTAGCAAACCAATTACAAGAAAGGTATATTGTTTATATTATATATTTGTACATTAGTTGTAATTTTTTCTGAACATTTGGTGCTTTTATCTAAAACAGTTTTTACTAGGATTTCATTATTATTTCTTAATTATTATAATGTTATATTGTAATTAATGTATTTTGTATATTAAAACAGTTTAAATTACAAAATGCCTTCATTTAAGGATTTTGTAAAAAGTTAATTAAAGATTGCTGTTGTAATTCTTATGTTATTGATAAGAACTTAAGAATTAGTCCTAAATGTATGAGTAGTCAATAAATATATATTATTTAAATAAAATAAATAATAGATTCAAACTTGGAGTAAACTGTCATAGTAAAAAAATTTATGTAAATTGACAGAAATAATTTTTTTTTTAATTTTGTAATTCTTTATATGATACTCTCTTATTAGAGACAGTGATATTGGTTTGATTTTGATCATTATTATCTAGAAATTTCTTACTTAAAATAAAGTTTTCTTTAATTAAACCTAGATTAATAAAATCTCNGTTGTAATTCTTATGTTATTGATAAGAACTTAAGAATTAGTCCTAAATGTATGAGTAGTCAATAAATATATATTATTTAAATAAAATAAATAATACAGATTCAAACTTGGAGTAAACTGTCATAGTAAAAAAATTTATGTAAATTGACAGAAATAATTTTTTTTTTAATTTTGTAATTCTTTATATGATACTCTCTTATTAGAGACAGTGATATTGGTTTGATTTTGATCATTATTATCTAGAAATTTCTTACTTAAAATAAAGTTTTCTTTAATTAAACCTAGATTAATAAAATCTCTTGTTTTTGTAACCAGAGATTACATCAGTGCAATAAGTTCTATTAATAGATTATAGTCATAGTAAACTCAATATAATATTCAATAATTTTTAATTAACAATTTGAAAAATTAGTAAGCTTAGCTGGAAATAATTTCATGAAATAATTAATCAATATGGTTGCCTATACAGTGGGTGATTGGTTAACAAACAAATTGGATAATGAACACTTTTACAAAAGATTAATTAAAATGCCTCAATATCCTTTTCTTACTAAATTATAAATTTTCGTCTATAAACAAGCATTCACTATTATCATGACTTATATTAACAGGTATATTAAATATTAAATAAAAATTGTTTTCTGTGAAACTCTGTATTGTCTGTTAAGCCAGTATAATAAGTCCTGATAATAGTGAATGCTTGTTTATAGATGAAAATTTATAATTTACTTTCATAAAAGATTTTTATAAAAATATAATTTTTAAAAATAAAAGACGAGTAAATTAAGACACTCTTTCAAAAACCGACTTCGAGCAATTTGCATTAGCAGACAAACAGTAAATCAACAAAGATACATTACTTTAACCAGGGTTAATTCTTTTATTTTCGTAAATTTCAAATTGTTTTCCAAATGCATTTCGCCGTTACAGCCTCATCAGTGGATAATCAAACAACTAGACACCTGTTCCCTTTTATACAAAGGAACTTTTCCCAGCATGCATCAACGTTTAGACCGACATTCTGATNGAATTAATCAAATTCCCATAAAGATGTATGGTAAATCAATAATTGGTTAAACAAAAATCACATCTGAGAAACAAAGATGTGCCACACATGAAAAAAATGGAGAGATTGGTTTTAGTTTGTTATTACATATAAATAAACATAGTAAGTATATATTTTTTTTATTTTTTGGGGTCTTCAGAACGAATTAATCAAATTTCGGTAAAAACTTATGGTAAATTGATAATTGGTTAACGAACAATTCGGATAGCGAACAAAGTCTTGGAACAGATTATGTTCATTAATCGATCACCTGCTGTAATTTAAAATAAAGTTATTCCCAGTTTTATAACTCATTTTTTATTATACTGTAATTAGTTTCCATGAAGTAGGAAAGAAGTTTATCTATAATGATTAAATAGTAACAAAATGTCATTTACGTAGAGAGAGAAAATTCTTTTTATTAACAATATCTGAACTACAAGTTTTACAAGAAAGTTAGTCCAAAGATTGACATAATAAACAATTTTAAATGAAGTTTATTTTCAACATGTGAGTTGCAGAATTCTATATATATTTTACTTGGTAAACATTTAAAGAATACCAGTTAAACTTGTAAATTTCAATGGAAGGAAGAATGTGAAACATTAGTTAAGGATTAATTTTAATTTTGTAAACTATTAAAAAATAATTTATTATTTGCTGTGGTGGAAAACTGTTTGAAGTATAAGATAAGATTTAAAAGTAAACTCATAAGATATGCATTGTATGTTTTAAAATCAGTATATTGAATAAGCAAAAGTAAGCCATTAGCATATGCAAAAGATAAATAGTGCATTCAAGTCTGTTTAAGAGAGTGTCCTTGGGATTGCTGCATTATGCCTCCTTCTCCAGACTGTTCTTTTATGCAAACTAAGATTGCCCAAGGTGTTCATGATTTTCAAATCTCTCCATCTTTTCATGTGTTAGAAGCTCTATATAACTTATAACAAATTTGGAAATGTTAAAATTCATTATCATCTAATTTTACTGTAACTTACAAATTGGTTTCTGCTCTTATGTCATCAATTTTATTGTTTTATCAAAGAATCAGTAAATACATTATATTTTTCAGTTACTTTTACTTCTTCCCCAGAGATACAGTAGGAGGCATAGCTGAAAAAGTGTAAAACCATTGCTCCAAAATTTTTGAAAGTTTTCTGATGGGACATATAATATAAAAGCATATAACTTTCTTGCTAAAAACAAATAATTTTTGCAGTATTGTACTTATTTTCTATCAGATTTAAATTTTATAATTTACAAATGTGGAAATGAACTTCTTGTGCTATCATAATGTAGAACTTAAAACACTGTGCTTACTTAAAGAACTTTGTAATTTTCTTTTGGATATTACTTAATTTTCTTTCAGTCATCTCCTTGATCATGTAAAATGCATTATAGTCTGTAAAATTTTCTTCTAAATATTTTATCATGCATCTAAATGCAAATAAAACATCAAATTATCATGCAAATAAAACAGAACATCTTTATGAGAAACATATTTTGTTGAGTTGTGTAGAAATTTTCATTTTCATCATTGTCTTGTTTCACTTCATTGTATTTCTTTGTTTTCTTTTAAATATATTGCATATTTCAACAAATATCATAATGTAGAGAACCTTATTGTCATGTACTGTAAGTGGTGATGTATTGTATGATTAAAGATTGATCCTTATAAATCTTTTTTAGGGTAGTGATCTCTCATGCACCTTGCTGATTTTAAAAAAAGACACCAATATGACACTCATTTAGACAGACTGCTATCTGTACTCTGTTAGCAGGAGTCCTGCTAATGTAAAATGTACAAAAGAAAATCAGGAATGTGAAATGTTCTATTATCTGATGCTCAATAAGTGGACCTGACTGTATTTCTTTTTGGTTAAAAAAACATGTGTATTAAATTTTTTATTTCTATTTTTATATTTTAATTTTGATAATTTATTGTTAATGAATATAACATTAAAATAAATACTTTGAATTTTAATATAATAATTTATCTTGTAAACTTTTAATTAAACTCATATCATCAACTAAATTTATTAATCAAATAATTTTAAATTTGTTACATCAGTTTAATATGTAATTTTTTTATTTTATGAAGCCAATGCAAAGGGAGAGTGAAGTAACTTCAGAAGATGATCAGCTATTTCTTAGTAAACAACAAAGTTTACTTGTACAACAAGTTCCACCAACTGGAAGACCAGTAAGTCAAATTAAAAATAATAATGAATTATATTAAGAAGATTCTACTCTATATTTCTGTCAATTTAAACATATGGACCGTTTATTTTGAAAGTGGTGTAAGTCCATTTTTGGAAAAAATTGAGAAAACACATAATATACATACAATTTAGCGTGAACTTTTTATTTATAAACAATTCACACTTAACATTTTAAAATAACCATAAGCTTTGATCAATTGAAAATTTATCGATAAATGACATTGCATAACCATTGATTTTGAAAGTGGTATAAGTCCATTTTCTACAGTCTAAGCACTTGGGCTATCCATAAATTACATGTGCATTTTTCTTGAAATGTTTACTTTTCCCTCTTGTCCCAGTTTGTCCAAGTTTTTGTAACCCCTTTCCCTCTATGGATGTCCAACATAACTCTATCCCTGTTAAAACCTTCATCACTTTATGAATGATAGATACCATAAGTAGAAATGAAACATACAAGAAACTTTGAAATAAATATAATAAAATGCATATTGTATAAAATTTAATGAAATAAATGGATGTCCACTAATACTCAACCCTCCTTGTCCAACTTGTCTTAACCCCTCCCTCCCTTTCAGTGTGGACATCATTTAAAGACAGCCCCTTACAACAGAAGAGTAAAACTGTAAATATTACCAACAAATGTACAATTTGATGGACTAGAAAAAAATCCATGTAATGAATCTAAATGAAAAGCAGTGTCTAATGGTAAGCTCATAATAATGATAAATTTATCATAAAATAGTTTAACAATAAGTAAATATTTTTAATGTTCAGAATAAACAATACTATTTTATTTCTTGTTATTATATATGAACAAAATCAGAATAAAACGCAATGTGTTTCAAGTGACATTGAGTTTTACATAATAGAAATTTAATGAATTTTACAGTTTAGTAATTATGAAAGTGGTGTAAGTCCATTTATGGCCCAGAAAGAATATATTAGTTTGGATAAATTCACATAGAAGTCTTTATGCAATCAACTTACATATTTCTAAAGTCATAGAAACATTGTCAAACTTAGTACACTTTGTTTATATTTTTGAATCAACTAAAATGCAAATGTTTAAATATCTCGAAAGAAGAAAAAATGGACTTACACCACTTTCAAAATAAACGGTCCATATATTATTTTTTTTTCTTTTCTTTCTTTTATTTTATTTATAAATAATTACACTCTGTTTGCTTTTATTGAATGATTAATATCTTTATTTGGAACAAAAAAAAGGAGAGAATTTTTAGAAAATAGGACATCCAATAGTGTATATTTAACCCTTGAAATTAAATTGTTAAAACAATCTTCAAAATATTTATTGGAAATTTCATATATTTTGCTCTGATGTTTGTATTTGTCATAACTCTACTTTTTTAGGAGTGTGTATGTATTTGCATGCATGCTTACATACATATGTATACAAATAATGTGTTTCCAATAAACTGGATTATCGTTATCATTGGGCTGCAATTTGAAAAAATTGTAGACCTATAAATTCCCACTGTTGTTCATTGTCTTTTCTTAATCTTGAGAACAGTGTTAGATAAACAAAATTCAAGACCAGATATGGAAAGCTTAGAAGCAGGAGACCTTAATTAACTATATATGGACTTCCCATGCAAACCAAATTATTTCAGTTCAAAAATTTTCTCCTGAAAGGAGTTAGATGACTATCACAACTCCATTGCTAATGGGAAAGTATGATGTACAGGGGCAAGACACTACAGTACTAATTTGAGGAGGAGAGCATATATTTTAAATTAAATAAATAAAAAATATGATTAAAAATTGCAGCTTAGCATTGTGACAACGTCATGATAAATAATTGCTCATTATTATATATTTTCAGTTATGTTTAATTAAAATTTTAAATGTAGTTCTTAGTAAAGGAAAATTTCTCCAGCCTGTTTGTGATTCATCCTGACAATTGTAACTAAATAAAAGATGTGCATAACTTCAATTTTTATTTCTTTTTTCTATTTGAGGCACTTACTGGATTTTATCTTTTTGCTTGTAACAGCTTTCCATTTTGAAATTTTTCTTTTAGAAAGCAGGCTGTTATTAGTTTTTAAGTTATCAGCCAATTGGCTCTCAGCAAAATAGCTTTACTCTGGTTCTGTTCACTGTTAAGAATTTCTGGAAGGAAATGATAGCATATTTTTTAGACAATAGTCCATGTCTAACATTTGAGCTTTTTATTCACTTAATGGACAATGTCAAATGTGTCCTTTTATTTTCACTGTTTATGGGTTAAATTTATGTAGTTGATGTTGGCATTATCCAGAACTGACTAGGAATTAGGGTTAAGCACCTCATTATTATTAATTATTATTGTGAAGATCAAAGTCTGAATGATATATTTTTTTTATAGCAAGAGTCACCTATTAGAAGTCCTGCTGGTGTTCAAAAAACAGCTGATAGGAGGTTATCAGGGTCACCAGGTGTTCAAGCATCTCCAAAAAAAGTATATATTTTAAAATCCTATTATGTTTAAACTTTGTACGATCTCTGAATTTAAATTTTTAACTAAGAGAATTTTATGCTACATTTTAGATTAAAAATTATTTTTATTATTTTTCATCAAACTATTGTTGTTAATTTTTATATAGATGGAAGGTATGAAGAGTGCAGCAGGAAGTGAAGGAGTCTTGCAAAACTTTTTTAATAGCCTGTTAAATCGAAAAACAGGTCCAACTGCTACCACAGGATCTGCTGTTAGATCTCCTGGTCAGTAGCATTCAATAAATATTAAAGATAATTTATTACATGTTGTTATTCATAATATAATCTAAATTTTAAATTAAATTTAAATTTGATCTAATTTCTATATGTATACTTTAGCCTTAGCATGGAATAGTTTACCAGGTGAGAGAAATTATTGTTATTACAAGATCAATTCTATTAATTTTGGGATTTGGCTATTTATACATACATGTTTTTGATCTTTAATGTTGTATGTAGGTAATTTTATTTACTATGGTTTATATAAATTACAATAATTATCTGAGCATTAAACAAACTTTATTTTTGATATTATTTTACAAAATATGTTTAAAGAATTGTGAAATGTCTAAGAAAATTTGACAAAAAGTAATAATAAATAGACTAACTACTTATTTTTTGGATTTTTTTTTAATGTTGTTCTGTTTAAAATGTTAAAAGTTTATTTTCTTATTTTTTTTCTAATGGTACACTATTAAAATGTGGGCATTTTGCAATTTCCCACATGACTATTATTGAGAAGGTAATATTTCAAAATTATTAATATTAGAAAAATAGTTGCTTCTTACAGTCTTTGCTTTAGAGTATGACCCTGATTTACAAAGTACAGGTAGCCCTCGGTTTACGCCGCAGTTCCGTTCCTACAAAAGCCGGCACAAATGAACCCATATTTACAGTGAGGTATAGGGTTAGGTTCTGCATAAGTGAAAAATAATCAAATAATTTTGTTTATTAATACAATATAATAGAAAATACATATAAATTTAATTTTTAAAATGTATTTTATCATAAAATAAAGTGATATGGTTTTATTAAAAAATTTTAGTTTCGGATCTCTTACATTTTCCGGAAAAAGTATCCATCTTTAATTGTTTACATTTTTGTTTTCTTTCATTGAGAATTTTGGAATATGGTCAAATGGATGCAATAATGCTCCTTTTTACATTTGCATCCATTAGTAGTCGTCACTGATAGAAATTGAATCGGCTCAGGCACTGAACAAACACGTGGTCGGCTCCTTACCTGTTTCGGCAGCCATCTTGGCTCAAAAACAGCGCCCTCTGTTGGATTTGGCGCTTGCCAATAGTCACTGTTTGATGCGATGATAGTAATAATTTTTTATTATCGTTAATTCTTATTAGAAAGTAATATCAGTAATAAAAAAATTTATTATAAATAATGTTGTTAATTTATTTTCTGTATTTTTCATTTTGTACAGGTTTTTAGCAATCAATTTTTTCATTAAATAAAACTAGTTGCAAACATTCAAAGATAATAAATTGCATCAATGTTTCTGTATTAAATCAATTTCAATTTTCATAAAAAGAACCAACTAGTTTAACTTACTGCAAAAAATATTAATACAGGTAACCCCCGTATAACATGGCACTTCTATAGCACGGATTCGCTCTAACACGGTTCGAGAATTGGTACCATCCCCCGTATAACACGGTACTTTTATAGCACGGATTCGCTCTAACACGGTTCGAGAATTGGTACCATCCCCCGTATAACACGGTACTTTTATATCACGGATTCACTCTGACACGGTTCGAGAATTGGGTAAAACCCTCGTACAACAGGAAATGTAATAAATTTTTACATACTTAAGTAATAATAGTTCACGAAAATTATTATTTTCGTGAACTATTAGTACTTAAGTATGTAAATTTTCTCTTCTCGCCTTCTGTCGATACACGTGGTCCTTCTCGAAACTTGTTTCAATGTTGCCAGATCGCGACGCTTCTGCTTCTGATGTTGCCGAATGTTTTTCCCTTATTCCATACTTGCTTTATTCTTCATAAGTGCTTAGCACCATATAAGGAAATTTATAAAGACCTTTTAACTAGAAGCAAGCAATCTAAAATTACATACATTTTGCAAAAGGTAAAGCATGGATCTGAAGATAATGCAGAAAAATGCTCAGAGGATAAGGATAACTTGCCAAAAAGAAAACGCTCTCGGTTAATTAATAGTGTTTTTAGTGATGACGAAGAAAACATTGTTTAATTTATATTAATATGTATCACTTAAAAAATTTTAATGAAGATATTTATCTTAATTATGAAAATATACTAGCATGTTTTTTAATTTTAGGAACCTAACCCTCCTTTTCGTATTAGTTCTTTGTTTCGTATAACACGGATTCGCATAACACGGCAATTTTTTGGAACATAACTACCGTGTTATACGGGGGTTACCTGTATAACTTATTTTTAAATTATAAGATTAAAAATGGTTTGTAAACAATCTGTATATTTAATAAGTAATAAAGTATAATTATTTGTAAATGAAATTTATATTTTTTAGTTAAAAGTTCAAGTGATTGTATAGATAAATTTCATGAAAGTTTTATGAATGAAAAAATATTTCATTTATTTTTTAACTTGCTGAACAAATGAAAAACTTATGATTTTATCTATATTCTTATGTTAAATAGATAAAAGTGCTGTAAGAAATGATGCAGCTGCAGAATTAGACCGAATGACAAGAATGAAAAAACCCATCTCTCCTGCCCATTCAAATGTAGAAGGAAGTTCATCATCCCCAGCAGATGATTCAAGTAATCCATCTTCCTAGGAAATATATTTTGATTTTTTAATATTGCAAAGCTTATTTGTTAAGGGGCCAGCTTAAAGGCAGCTGAAAATAATGTGATGAACTGATAAAAATGGACAATAGTTTTGATTGTCCAAATTATCCTTTCCTTATAAACATTAGTGTCAATCACAGATGTAAAGTGCTGCTCTTTGTGAGAAGGAATTTTGGATAAACAAGTGATAATTGTGATTGGCTTAAAAACTTATTTTGGAATTAAAAGTTTGTTTTGGCCAAAAGATTGCTGATGTATATATATGAACAAATAGTATAAAGAATCACTCAAAAAGTTTGTATGTTCTCTCTAGCACTTTTCATATAAGATTATCTTTTTAAAAAGATTAACTTTTTGTGTACATTAATTAATTAGTACTAATTTTAAATATAAGTTGTAAATCTGTTTAAAACTATGCATGGTATATAGCTTTATGAGATCAAAGATTTTACACAAAAATAATGTTTCTTCTATTTCATGAAAAGAAATATATGTCACTTCTTATAAATAATTTATTGACTCGTAAAGAAAGAAAGAAAAAAAAAAATGGCAATTGAGAATAATATGGAGAATCTTTCATAAATTGACCAGAAAATGATTTTGGTGATAATTTTTAAAAGAGAGACTGTTTGTATAAAATTTAGTATAAATCTGTAAAAAAAAAAAGAATTTTTTTGTAATGTTTTCAAATGAAAATTTTACAGCTTAATTATCTCATCCCCATATATGAATAATAATGGTGTTTTAGAGTTACTGAAATTGTCAAATCAAATTTTATTGCACTAGGAAATTAAAAAGTTAAACATATCGCAATATTTAAAAGGGGATCATTGTAAAATGTTAAAGCAATGACTGTCTAACTACCATTAAAGTGTAATATTGTTTGTGCCATTAATATGTGTTTTATGCTATATTTATTTAAAATGGAATCTTGAAACGTGTTTAACAATAATTGCTAATTACCTGCAATTATTGTTAAATAATTTTTTTACTAACAATTGGAAGAATTATTTCTAATTTAATAAGGCCTTTATTCATTACTCTAGTGTATTTTCTAAGAAATAGACCAAGAGTGATATTCAGTTGGCTTATTAAAATGCTTAGTCAAACTCATTTCTTGAATAAAATTTTTTTGTAGGATTTTATAAATACTCACTTTTTAAATAATTGATAAATTATTAAAAAACATATTTATTACAATGGTTTTATTTTGCTTATGTATTAACATTGTATTTAATGTAATCTAACAGTTAGACAGTCACACTTTTCAAACTAATGTTGACATTTATTACTGAAATGAGTAACAATAAAAGTAATATTATAATAATGTTTCTTTTTATATGTAGATTATATATGTTGGACTTGGAATAATTTATAGTTTTCCCATATAATGTCAAAAGTGCCTACTTTAAAAGTTGAATAGAAGGTAAACTTCAGATACAATGATAAGGAACTTTAGCATGAAATAGTGGTTTGTTGAATTATTATATGTTCTGTTTGCTTTTGTGATGTGGAAAAAAAATATAAGTAATCAAATTATTTTATGGGAAAGTTATTTTATTTCCAAATATAAGTCTTGTTAAGTGCTCTCTACTATTCGGTCAATTTAGACATTGTTATATAATTTCTTTTCATAGTTGAACTAAACAATTATTAAATTTTCAATGCCCGCTTTAATATTTTGTTATTGTATAAATTAGTTATCATTTTGTAAATAAATTATTATTTTAGAGATCTGGATAGATTGTGATGAATTTTCCTTCTTATAATTGAAATATTTATTTATAGATTTCTTCTGACACATTAATTGAATTAACTGTATCTAGATAGACTTTTTAAAATATTAGTCATTGTTTGTCTTTTAACAGATATGATAATTGATGACATAGAGAATGCACTTCTTGGGATGGAAAGAGTACATCCTGTATGCCATCAAATATGGTAATTATATATATAAAATTCTTTAAAACTTAGTTGTTTAGTATTTTCCTGTCATCTTTTTCTGTGACACAAAAACTCACTTGGTATTGGGAAATCAGGATAGTATATTTTTCAGTTTTGTTTTTCTTGCGGTATGAGTCAGTCATACTGATATTTGAACAGCAAATGGAATAATTGTATATTCAAAGGTGAGAATGCAGACATACTATATAAATTCATAGTGCCATTCTAAGAAGTCTTTAGGGATGGACTTCAAAATTATAATATTCAAAATGTAAATATATTTCATGAATTCAAAATAATTTTGGATCTTGATGCTAAAAATAATTGGCAGAATCAATTAGCAACAAGAAGGCTAGTAAGATAGGTTGATAATGATGATAGTATATTTTATAATAGTGTTATGAGGAATCATAAATTGTCATTAACATAGAATCTGTATGTGGAATAACAGTTTTATTGCCTGTGATTGCCCTTTATCAAAATATCAGGATAGCAGAAATATGAAATTTACTACAGAAATACACAATTTTTTTTTTGCATTGCAATGCTCACTTAGTAGAAAAACCTCATATTCTATGATTAAAAATATTGAACATTTCTACGTTTTTGTTAATATATTTTTTTTCTTTGAAAAATCTTCATATTTCAATGCATTATGAATTATAAATAAATGTTACTGTGCAATTTCTTACAATTGTTTAATAGAGTTTTATTGCAGACTATATACAGAAAAGAATTTTCATTGTTAGAAATGTAACATTCATGCTAAGATCCTAGAGATATTTTTTATCATTATGATGTTTGAATAAAATAGAGATACAAATAATAGTTTAAAATAAGATTTATAACTTACTAGTTTGTGGTATACTAATTTACTGAAATTTTTCATAAACTTATCCATAACAGGATTATAAAATTGGATAAATTGAACAAAGATGATAATCTGTTCTAGAGTTAAAAATATCTAATCAGATACAGACAGACAAGAGCTTAAAGTATTTGGAGATTGCATAAAGACATGATTAACTTTGCTCATCATGGTTATTAGGTTTCTATGTCTTCCAAAAGTTGTCATTTAATTATATATATATTTACTGTGTTCCTCAGTCATATATATAAAAATTAGGAAGAACTAAAATTTTGAACTTGCAACCAACTAAAAGTTCTATTGACTAGCATGTTTTACAAAAACAAGTTAGTTGACAATATGATCTAGATATTTCAGAAGATTTTTAATATCCGATTGATTTCTATAGATAATATAGTAAGGAATTAAATTTGTTTAATTTATAATCAGTTAAAATTCATAGAAAGTAATTTCAACTGATCAGCAGTAGTTAACTGTACATTGCACCAATTATCTGGCAGAAGTTTAGTTTTATTTGGTTGCAATGAGTAAGTTTAGGTCTTCGCATTTACTAGATCTTACAATTAACTTAATTTTCTTCTCTAAGGTTAAGTTAAAGTTGGTTTTTTACTAGCAAGTGCAAAATGTGAAAGTACACAAATCCATCTGTGTATTAGTCAGCAATTCATCATACAAACATTATCATTCTTGCAACGTATGTAAATTATCATCGAAAGCATGAAATACTATATAAAAATACTTGATAAATGATTATCTTCCTTACTAAATGTTTTAATCTTAAAGTTTTTTTTCACTTAAAGAAATTTTTAAAACCTTTTACAGAACTATAGTTTTGAACAGGCATATTTTATTATATATATAAAAATAAAATTAAATTTTCAGGACAAAAAGGAAAGTTATTATATCTAAATTAAAATGAAAGCAAAGCTTTTCAAACTTTTTAAAATCTAGTAGCATAGTCTGTGAAATATATTTTTAATTAATAGTATTCTCATTCATTAATTTTCTTGTTTTTCTTATTGTAATATTTTTGTTTAGTTGTATTAATGTATTATGAAATTAGCCTTGAAAAGTAAAACAGTTTTTATTAGCTTTTGATAAACATTTTTAAAAAAGTATTATTTTCTGGGGTATTGAAAAAGATAAATTCAGCTTTATTAAAGGGGGAAAAAATTAATCTATTCCATTTATCTTGCACACAAAATGGGAATTATCACTATGTCTTTTTTAATATCTAGAGATAATTCCCACTTTATGTTTAAGATATTTTTTAAATATTTTAAAGCCTTCATTAAACGTCAAAATTTTTATATAACTGAATAAATTATATTCTTAATTAATTCAATTTATGCTTTTTGAAAATGCTATTAGATAATAGAATGTTTCAAACGTTAATTCTATATTACATTATTGACCACAATGACTAAAATTTCAATGATAACAGAAAAATAAAAGTTACTTTTGGATTTTTTTTTTCTCTTAAGCTTCCAAATTTAATTTGGATTGTTTTTTAAAAAGTTAGATTTTAAAATCTTATTATAATTAAATTTTATTCATAGTTTTTTACATCATAAATAAATGAAATGGTTTCATCATATTTTTTATGGAAAATACATAATTTAATTTCTAAAAATATTTTTTCTTGATAAAGTTTTTTAAAAAAAAAACCATTACATCAGAAATTTATCTGGAATTAGTTTAAATTTTATGTAAGGCAAACTATATTTATTAGTTATCTTATAAGTTTTAGTGTGTCAAGTCATGGATAAGTTTATTATAAATTGTTTTTCAGGATTTTTTAAGACTACATAAAATTATAATAATTCACAAAAATATTTTCAAAGGAAGTGAAAAGAATCTTTAAAAATTGCGCTGGTGTATAAGTGGAGTATACAAGGTCTGTTCAAAAAGTATCGGACCTTCTTTTTTCCGCGTAAACCAATGATGCGCGAGAGGCCTCCTTCGGTGGAGTTGTTGGGGGGACAGTCATGCACAGCCCTGAATTTTTTCCCGCCTGCAGGAAGCGTCAGTCGTTGGCAATCGGCCTATGAGTGAGGTCATGTAGTGCGCTCTCGTCGGATTCCACTAAGCTGGAAAATGACTGAACAACGTGAGCAGCGATATTACATCAAATTTTGCCAAAAACCTTGGCGATACCCGAGTGTAAACCATTCGCAAGATTCAGCAGGCTTTCGGGGACGATCCTCGAGGCCAAAAAAAGCGCGGCAGGTCCGCAGCAATATCAAAGGTCATGTTGACAGTTTTTTCGACTCTCGTGGGGTGGTGTGTCGTGAGTACGCACCACAAGGCCAAACCATCGCAAAGGAGTACTACCAGGAGGTCCTTCGTCGTCTTTCCGATACAGTGCGACGCAAACGACCGGATCTGTGGTCGATCAAAACTTGGCAGCTCCATCGTGATAACGCATCCGCCCATTCTGCGCATCTGATTCGGGCTTTCGTCGCCAAACACAATACTCCTGTGGTTCGTCACGCTCCGTACTCTCCCCACATGGCTCCGTGTGACCTTTGGCTATTTCCCAAGCTGAAAATGCCGCTAAAAGGAACCCGAATTTAGTCGAGAGAAGACATCGTGCAAAATCCGACAGACCGGCTGATGGCCATTCCAAAAGATGCGTTCCAGCAGTGTTTCCAGCAATGGCAGGAACGCTGGGAGAAGTGTATACATTACCAAGGAGACTACTTTGAAGGGGATTAGGGTTTTGTACATCAAAATCAACAAATTTATTTTTGCCGACCAAAGGTCCGATACTTTTTGAACACACCTCGTAGTATCTTATTTAAGTAAAGTGCCGTCACATTTAATCGTTTTTATTATATAATGCATACAGTTCTTAGTATAGAGTGTTTATTTGTGTATTTTAGCAGATCTAACAGAATTTATTTTAATTTAATATATTTGAACAATGTTTTTCACATGTCGGGAAATTCTCGTTTTTACTTTTTCATCTGTTATGTATATAACATGGGAAAGTATTGTAACATGTCAAATTTGACCCTTCGGGTGTTTTGCAAATCTCAATATTTTCAGACACCTGAACCCAGATACAGTAATAATAATGAAGGGGGGAAAATTCCGCATGTGTTGGCGTCTATTTTGTTTTATATCCCGAGAAGTATATGGGATGAAAAATAAGAAACGAAATTTGGCACGGTAACTTGTATATGAAGAACATTGATGCTATTAAATTTTGAAGTAAAGAACTCGAGTTAAGGGGGATAGCGCTTTCCCGGCGATTATACTTTTCTTCTGCACAATGATGGATATAGTGTACAATTTGTACACATCCTAATGGTGTAGTTTCTACGTATCAGTCTCTTGCACTAATTGGCATGTTTTATTTGTCTATTTTTGATGGGCAAATGCAACGCTTCGTCCATTTCCCGAAATTATTAACTCCTTATTATCTCTTAGAAAGATTTTAACTTCGATATTGTGGTTCATAACAGGACAAAATGTAGTTTATCATTGTAAATATTTTCACAAGCAAACTATAACAACGAGCAATTGCTTGTGACACCGTCACAATGCCAGGGATGCAATTTCTAATCATATTTTTAAATCATTTCATTTAAAACATGTGCTCTCCACCTCAAATTAGTTGTGGCTTACCACTGTACATCATACTTTTTCTTTAACCGGTCATCTATTAACTGCTTTCGGGGAGGGTGAGTTTTGAATTGAAAAATCGTGAATTTCGATTTGCATGGGAAGTTCATGTATAATTAAATTAATTGAGGCCTCCCGTTCATAAGATTTCCATATCTGGTCTCGGATTTCATCTAACTTCGTTCTCGAAATTAAGACAGACGGACAGAGGACAGTGGGAATTTTAGAGGTCTACAATTTTTTCAATTGCAGCCCCCTGAGGTCATGGTTCGACGCAAACTAACGGATTGCAATGCCGATGGGAAAAATCCAGCTTTGACTCTGACTCCCGTAGACATGACAAAATTTGAAAATAAATATAACATTCCTTTCAAAGCAAAATTGTCGCGTTGTAAGTAATAAAGACAAAGAAAAATTCTTAGCCGTGTCAAAAAAGAAAATATGGCGTGAGATACGAGCGAAAGTTTCAAGGTTAAATCAACACTTGCGGACCAAGTCGAGCGGAAGTGTCAAATTGATTAACCCATCAAATTAAGAATTTACGGGAGAGATCCTTTAGAAAGTCAGAAACTCTCAAGGAGAAAGAATGGTCGTTTCTCCCCGACTCAATCTGTTTATCCTCTGTGTCGATTTCCCCGTTATCTCCGACTTAATTTTCGTTCGGCCGTATTATAAAGGTTTTTCGGTATTTTTAATATTAACTTTATCCAGTTTGATGTTGCATTAATTAATACGCGAAACCCACAACCCCGACAGCGACCGAGGAATCTTTCCGAAAAGCGAAATAATATCGAAATCCTAAGAATTTGATTTATTCGGGCGATGGACGAAAAAGATATTTATCGACTTATTCAAACGAATTTCTGGCAATTTTCGGAGATGATCAAGCCTCGAGACGTAGAATTTAAAAACATCGTCTTTTACCGCTCCACGATGGACATTCTGCACCATGTAAATGCACGAGGTTATTTATCAAATTGCCAACACAAGAAAATGCTTGAAGCAAAATTTAAAAAAAAAAAATACAAATTAATTTTTTTAAAAATAAAATTGATATTTTTTAATTCCTATTTTTACGTAATTCGAACATCGTTGACGCGTCTTTTAACGTTTGTTCGAAATACGTCACACATGACGATTCGCGGATCGATGGTGTTTCTGTTGTGATCGGACGTGCTTTTCTTGCGCTCGCGATTTGTGTGCTGTTTTTCGCTGTTTGCGAACTTTTCGGAAGAAGATTAAAGATTTTTCAGGTAAGTCTTAGTCCATATTGACCCTAGACGTAAGAATTTATTTAATATTACTTGGAGAATCGGTCCTACAAGACATCTCGGCACATCGTTCGATGATCAGCCGTTTTCATTTTGAATCTTTTAGATTTAAAAAGGCAGCCGCGGTGAGCATTTTGCTTTTCTCGGAAGAATTTAGACATTAAGCTTTTGTTTTAATCGACTAATTGCAAATTTTCTCTTTTTTTTTTTCTTTCAGAATGAAGACCTTTGTGTGGTTTCGCCAGAGGTTCCGACGGAAGAATGCGATGGCGCCGGAGGGAGGGGGTTCCTCGGACGGCTCCGATGAGACGTTCGAGGACCGTGAGCTCGACTGGGTCTCTGTCGAATCGATTAGTTCGATGTCGTTTGAGGCCGCCGAGCGAGAGGCAGCGAGTGATGACGACCTTCCCCTAGTGCGTGTGGCGTTGGACTCTCCCGGATGCGGGAGAGTTCTGAGTCCATTCCACTTGGCCAAGGTCGTCAGGGATCAGCCGGCCTATGGCCTTGTTAAGGAAGGCATAGGGAGTACGGAGTCCTCTTGGAGTTCGTCTATTTTCGCGAGGTCTGCCTCTCGGTCCGTGCTCACGATCACGTCGCCATCGTCTTTCGGAAGTCGGAGGACAGCGCCGCTGAAGTCGAGGAACCGCGGTTTTGTTGCTGTGGGAGGTTCCCTTGGCCTAGGCGGTGATCCTCTTCGATTTTTTCCAATTCGTCCTTTGCACTCGGATGCGACATTCTGACCGGATTCGACACTTTTCACCCGGACATGACCTCTTTACTCGGACTTGGTCTTCTCTTACCCGGATGTTCTCACGGACTTGTCTCCCAAACGTGACCCTCGATCGACGACAATGGATTTGACTTCCGATTGTGACCACCCGGACGCAACATTCGGCCTACCTTTCTTCCCAAACAGCTGTTATGAGGATTGAGCTTCCGGTTACGCTAGGCTAGGCTAGGTCAGGTCCTTCGCTCTTCTCATAACACTGTTCGGGAAGAAATACTGTCTGATAAAGGTAATAATGTTGACCTTAGGTAATAAATGAATGAACTTCTCGTTTTCTCACTATCTTTGTGTTCTGTAGGAACATTTGGGAGAATCTCCCTCCCCAACTTTACCGCGAAGTGGCCATTTATCGTGCAAGTGAATATTTTCCGAAATCTCCGATGGTAAGAACTCTTTCGTTTCATCTTTTAACACGTCTTATTCTCGTATCGTAATTGACTGTTTTTCTGTTTATAGACATGCCGAAGATGTTCTTCGATCACACACATACACACACGCACAAACATAACATCACTGTACACGAAGATATACACCGTTTAACCTTTACTCGAATTATCGCACTCACGCACTTACACTTCAAGCGCCTCGTTCTGTGTAATTCCACACAATGAAACAACCCGAACACTCGCTTCCCACAAATCTAGCCCCTGGGTCCTCGTTCCGGGAAGTGGAAACGCCAATTTTAAAGATTAAAAGACTTTAAATTGGCGGCCGAAGGGGCTCTGGTAATTACAATTTGCACTCATTACACAGAATTTCTGGTATTCGCTGCAATAATCGATTTGTGATGACAGCGGAATCCGGATTTTCGACACTTTACTGTAATTAAAATAAATATGAAAACTATTAAGAAATTACACGTGTATGTAACAAAAATAAGAAATGGTTTTATATCAATAAATTATTATAAGTGTCGATCTGCTTTTTATTTTATACAAAATATAAAATTAAGAGAAATTAAGTTTATTTTTAAAAATTGTACTCTTGTAAAGTGTACGCAAAGGCATGATTTTCAGGTGGATAGATAAATGGAAAATGCCACTATTTTATATTAAACCCAAATTTCATTTTTTAATTTAACATGAAAATCACTTCAGATAATCAGATTAATTTCGCCAAAAATCGAGTTAAGTCACCTTTGGCCCTGCCGTCTGGCAGGAGCCACGAAAATTACCAAAATATTGTTTAGTGAAGGTGTGCGTTAGAAATAAAATACTGTAACTTATTATTTTAGGATTTTATTGTCTTTTTAACATTAAAAATACTTTTACATAAAGGTAACTTGTAAGAAAATTGCAACTAGGGCCTCATAATCCTCTCCTGTATTAAGTACTGGCATTTCTGCTTTGATATAACCTGTCAGAATAAAACTAATTAGTAGGAAACTTAATAAAAACCAATTTGAATTGACTGTAAAATCCTACTAGTTACTCCAATACCTGAACAGCTGATATCATGTACAGCTTTTTCCGAATACAATTTCACGTTATATGCAATTCCCTAAAATTAAATAACAAAAATAGTTTTCTAAAACAATTTGTTTTGATATTATTTTAAGTCTGTAAGTCTGCTTGGAATAAAACAAATTTTTCACATTGGCAGACAACTCTTCACTCATTGGAAATCTTTTGAAATTCTCAGTCGATGATGCCTATTTTTTACATGTCATTCGAATGCAAATTATTATTGTTATAAATTTATTTCTGCACACCTATAATGGCTGATGATTTCAGTTGTAGAAGAAAAACGTGTTGTGTGTTTTAAGTACATTCTAGAGGGAATGATAATTTGGAATAAATGTTACACATAAGCTTATTTTGTCGCTTCTGTAAAAAAAATTATAAGAAGCGAAATTGCAGACGAATTTCATAAACCGTCGGCTTAGCAATTCTCAACTCGGGATGAAATGCACGCACGTTCGATGAGAAATTGAACGATTCGTTACTATCGACGACTAACATGCAATGAAACGTGAACGTTCGTTGCGAAATGTCCAGTTGTGACTTTTCGGGTCGGCACCTCTTTGGTACCCTGTCAGGATTGACACCACCGTGTTTCTCGAAACACGGAAACCGACGTGATCAGACGGATTCGTAATGTCGATTCGAGAGACAACATTGGAAGTGACTCAGATACACTTAACAATTAACAAGGGTTAATTTAAAAATCTATTGGAAAAAGGATTGTCGCGGAGAGAGAGAGTTCACATACGATTCGCGGGATGATAAATACCTTTGGTAATAGGTCCCGGTCGGGTCTTGTTGAATCGGAGAATAAGAGCTTCAGTTATGGGGTTTTCAGGATGTATCCAGTTCTGATGGGTATTTTTTGATCCAGGCGATCGTGCACTAACACACACACACAGAAAAGTTTATCCTATGGCGATTAATTCGAATTAATTAATGGATGATAATTGAAGGGAGGACGACTTCTTTCCTCTCCGAGGACTAAGGCAGCGACTAACTCTTTTCGGCCGTCTCTGATGATATTCACGGACGATTTCGGCCGTGCAGAGGTTAATAGTTCACGAGAAAGCGTCATGTTGCTTTCGAGAAAATGTAACGGGAGACTTTCTCAGGTAGCTAAGAACAACAATTGTTGCGTAATTCGCGAAATGTTATTATTAAAGAGTATTTCTAATATAAGAAGTTCTGCTATCTTACACAGTCGATGATGGCAGTTGGAATGGCATTTCTTCCGTAAGTGGACAGGTATAACGAAAATGCGACAGGATTGATAACGATTGCTTTTTGATTTGATAATCACGCGATTAGGAAAGCATTACGCGGTGTCAGAATGGCCGAGTGGTCTAAGGCTCCAGACTTAAGATCTGGTCCTCGTACGAGGGCGTGGGTTTGAACCCCACTTCTGACAGGTTGTTTTGCTCGACTGAACATTTATTGGGGTACAACCTTGTCGTTCGATTTGCTGTATGTTCGCGGTAATTTGAAAAGTCTTCTGTACAGTGCTTGTCTTTTCTTATAACAGTCCTTCTTCGTAGTGCGAAATTCCAAGTCTTGAACGGATTATTATTTTAACACTCTAATGGCCTGAATTTTCTTCTGACATTTAAAATATGTATGTGTATACAGTACTGTACATTCATTGCATTATACTGATTATTGAACGCGTGTAAGATGAAATTTTATTCTTCTTTGTTTTTGATCTTTGAAGTTTCATATGTTACTTTCGGGTCACATTGGACATTTTTCTCCAAGTTCTAATTCCATCTATAGTTTGTTATTTATCCTTTGCAATATTCTACTATAGAAAGTGTGTAAGCAAAATCCATAAGGATTTCAAAAAGAATGGAATAGCCTAATATATTTTATTTAACAAAGTCATAAGTACAGTGTATGCAAATTATAGTTAATAATTAAGTTCGGCTTTTTGCTTTTATGATATTTAAGATCATGTTTTGACTCAGAGATTTTTTTGTTTACAGACACTAGTGGCCTATGAGATACTGTGAGGTATTGCTTATAACCAGGGTGGCCAAGCTCCTTGATAGTCCGAGCCATTTTTCAAAATTTGAAATTTTTCGCGAGCCGCAATTAAATACGTATTAAAAAGGTATGCAAAAAATTCCAGATTACAAATTATATCCGTAGCAAGAGTGATACAAATTGTTTCCTCCAGAGCACAATGTCAACTATCTGTTGCAATGACAGTTTACAAATTCAAAATCGGTCTGGAGTCGGTCGATAACGGATGATTACGCCATTGTTTATGTTCGTTTGCGCAGTTTTCGATGAGTCATATCATTCTTAACTTGGACAGAAATGAAATTTGTTACAACGTTGCACTTAGTCTTTCATATTTGTTGTTAGTAATTTAAAAGACATTTTGAAACACATACG